TGTCCATCTATCTATCTGTGTTTAACTGCCAAGCCTGCAGAACAACTTACACTTTGAATGTCTTCAGTTTCTTTTCTTTAAATACTGAATCTTTACTGGTCCACACAGGTATTTAACCAGTGTCTGTGTCTGAGAGAGATTAGTATCATTACCTCTCTCTCTCTCTATCTCTCTCTCTCTCTCTCTCTCTCTCTCTGTCACTCAGAGACACACACACTTCAACACAAATGTTTTTAATACTTCACTCTTTTCCTCTCCTAATGTTGAACTGTGTTTTGTGTGTTTTTACTAAAATAACAGTATTAAATGCTGTATTGTTGCAGCTTCTGCCCTAGTTTTGTATTGTATAGTTTTGTGGGTGTGTCAGTAATATATAACATAAAAGTGTAAAATGTCTTTAAATTGAACAGTTGCTGCATTTGTTTATGTCAGTGTTCATATAAAACAAGTACATCCAGTTTCATACTGAGTTGCCAAGTTACCAACTTATTAGTAATGTTGTTATTTTCTATTTGTATTCCTATTATTGGTATTGTAGGTGATATTGATAATAGTTTTGGTGAGTTAATTGTAAGTCAGTTATCTGACATGAGTTTCATCATACAGATACGCCAAAGATGAAACTGATAAATAACAAAACACTATATGAAATTTGCATGAGTTCATTTTATGATCAGATTTGACCAAACACATTTTTACAAAACACATCATCACCCACTTCATGTCTCTCAAACAAATGCAAATTGCCCACACAAAATATCATCCATTTTACATTTCTGTCTCTTGTTTTTCCTTTTTTGGTGTGTGTTTGTTTCTATGAGAGGATCATACAGAATGAATTCAGTTATGTAGTGTGTAGTTTTTTTCTTCTTAATTGCTTGGGTGAGATGTTGGTGTTTTTATAGATTGTATATGTAGTTGTGTGTAGAACCGTAAGTGTGAGGAAGTTTTCTCCATCTCTCTACAGATTATATCACTGCAGTATTACAGAGAGAGGCTGTAAAGCTCTGGTTAAAGCTTTGAAATCAAATCCTTCACACTTGAGAGAGCTGGATCTGTATGACAATAAACCAGGAGAGTCAGGAGTGAAGATGCTTTCTGCTCTACTAGAAGATCCACACTGTAAACTGGAGAAACTACAGTAAGTTACTGACCTGCTTTCACTTTACACACACACACACACACACACACACACACACACACACACACACACACACAGATACACACACACACACACACACAGATACATACACACACACACACACACACACACACAGATACACACACACACACACACACACAGATACATACACACACACACACACAGATACACACACACACACAGATACATACACACACACACACAGATACACACACACACACACACACACACACACACACAGATACATACACACACACACACACACAGATACACACACACACACACAGATACATACACACACACACACAGATACACACACACACACATACACACACACATACAGATACATACACACACACATACAGATACACACACACAAACACACACACATACAGATACACACACACACACACACAGATACATACACACACACATACAGATACACACACACACACAGGTACACACACACACACACATACACACACACACACACATACACACACACATACTACACACACACACTCGCACACACACACACACACAGATACATACACACACACACACACACACACTCACACACACACTCACACACACACACACACTCACACACACACACACACACACACAGATACATACACACACACATACAGATACACACACACACACACAGGTACACACACACACACACACATACAGATACACACTCGCACACACACACACACACAGATACATACACACACACACACACACACACACTCACACACACACACACACACATTAACAACCTAAAAGGGAACTGAGACCAACCTGCTCAGGGGGTCTCGGTCCACTCATTTGCTGCGCGCCACAGCTCGGATGGAAACGTTCTCAGTTGCACCAACAGACAAGTGCAAAGCAGTAATTGTACCAGGGATCGCTTTAATCACACCAAACCTGCCGAGTCTGAACACACCCTACGAGTGTGAGTGTGTGTGGAGCTGGGATTAGCAGTTTTCTCTCTGAATCCACATCTTTAAAACAAACAGTATTTAAATATTCCAAACTGTAAATACTCTATATTGGTATGGAAATATGGAAGGTTTAGCATTTGTTGATTACATGCAGCTCACATTAAAGCTGATCCTCACCTGATTACAACAGAACCCTGACTTTAAGAGTCATGATCTTTTATTCTCAATATCTTTAATAAATATTTATCTTAAATTTAGTCTTTTAAGTGGTTTGGGACGCTCCTATTTTTACCTATTTTCCATTGAATTTCTCCCTCCTTATAATAATAATAATGATAATAATAATAATAATAATAATAATAATAATTTTATTTTTATAGCGCTTTTCATGCTGGTGGCAGCTCAATGTGCTTTACAGACAGGTGATAAAACATAGTTATAGAAGAGGTCATTAGTACTTAATTAGAATCAGATGAAAATGAAGAAGATTCAATTACAAGATAAAAACCATGAGACATTCAGTTTTAGTTAAATGCTCATTTAAAGAGATACGTTTTTAGGTGCTTCTTAAAAGTCAGCACTGAGCTTGACTGTCTAATAAAAGGTGGAATTGAGTTCCACAGTTTAGAAGCATAATAACTGAAAGAGTCTCTCCATGTTCTCTGTATTTTACAGAGGGTCTCTGTAGAAGGCCACTATCTGCAGATCTTAGATTGCGTGCCGGAACATAAACAGACAGACACTCTGTGATGTAAGCAGGTGCTTTAGGGTTGTTTTGAGCTTTAAAGACTAGTAGCAGAACCTTAAAATCTATCCTGAATGAAACAGGCAGTCAGTGCAGTTCTTTCAAAACAGGAGTGATCTGATCTCTCTGTGTTGTTTTTGTTAGGATGCTGCTGCGTTTTGTACGAGTTGTAAGGGATGTGTAGGTTTCTTAGGAAGTCCAGCAAGAAGAGCATTAAAGTAGTCAAGTCTGCTTGTAACAAATGCATGAACAAGTTTCTCTGCGTCGCTCTGAGATAGAAAAGGCCGAACTTTAGTGATATTTCTTAAATGATAAAAAGCTACTTTAGTGACTGTGTTTACATGTGGGGTAAAACAGAGCTCAGAGTCTAAGATCACACCCAGGTTTCGTACTTCAGGTTTGGTAGATGAAGCTAAAGAACCAAGTTTCTCAAAAATCATTTTTCTCTGAGTTTCTGTACCAACAATCAGTAATTCAGTTTTTTCATGATTTAATTGTAGAAAATTTTGCGACATCCACTGAGAAATATCTGACACACAGCTGGTTAGTCTGTCTACAGAGTCTTGATCTTCAGAAGGAATAGAAATGTATAACTGGGTGTCGTCAGCATAACTATGAAAATGTATACTATGTTTCCCAATAACATTACCTAGAGGCAGCATGTACAAAGAGAAAAGCAAAGGCCCTAAGACTGAACCTTGGGGGACTCCACAAGAAACGGCAAATCGTTTCGATGAATGATTTCCAAGTGAAACCATGAACTGCTTATTACTTAAATATGATTTAAACCATTCTAAAACTCTGCCTGAGAGGCCGACCTAGTATTCAAGACGCTGGAATAAAATCTTGTGGTCAACGGTATCAAAGGCTTCACTAAGATCTAATAAAACCAAAATAGAAGGGTTTTGTGCATCAGCGCTGAGCCTGAGGTCATTCATAACATGAATCAATGCTGTCTCTGTACTTTGGTTAGAACGAAAACCTGACTGAAACTTCTCGTATAAATTGTTTGATATTAGATACGTATTTAGTTGTTTGAAAGCAACTTTTTCTAAGACTTTACTTAGAAAAGGTAGGTTTGAAATCGGTCTAAAATTATTTAGTACTGAAGGATCCATGCTACTCTTTTTTAGCAGAGGCTTCACCAGGGCAGTTTTGAAAGCATCTGGAAAAACACCTGTTGACAGAGAACAATTTACCATAGTTAAACATCATTGTGAACGCAATCTAAAACCATCTTAAGGAATGAAGTAGGAACAGGGTCAAGATCACATGTGGATGAACTTAGTTTGTTTAAAAAAATAGTTGATAGCTCCTCATAGTTGATAACAGAGAAAGATGTCATTACTGATGTAGGTGACCTATCAGGAACATTATAGGAGCTTGTTTGCGTCTGCTGAGCTACACCCTGTCGTATCAGGTCTATTAAATGAATTGCGAACTCTTCACAGATATTAGAAGATAAATCATCATTAAACGCACTAGCAGAGAAGTTAGGGTTAATTAGTCGGTCTATAGTGGAAAAAAGGATTTTGGTATTATTTTTGTGTCTATTGATTACACTAGAGAGATATGACTGTCTGGATATTTTCATAGCATTGTTATAGACTGAGATCTGCTCTTTGAGAATATCATACTGTATCTGCAGTTTAGTTTTCCTCCATAAATGCTCTGATTTACGACAATTTCTCTTAAGCTGGCGTATTTCCGCATTCATCCATGGATTTTTAAGAGTGCGCAAGCTTTTCTTCCTTTTTATTGGGGCGAGAAGGTCAAGGCCTTCCTGTAATCTAGCACTTAGATCGGAGACTAGATCATTACAGGATGGAGTCGTATCTGTATTCGCTGAACTATTATAAACAGTTTTAAACTTTTCAGCTGTTTCTGAGTCAATGTAACGTGTTTTAAAGTAACTTTCAGGTACTTTCTTCTTTACTTCTAAATTGATTTGAAAGAAAATACAGAAGTGATCTAATAAGAAAACATCCGAGATTTTGGACAAATTTGTTTGTAAACCTTTAGTGATGACCAGATCCAAAATGGGACCTAGCTTGTGTCAAATCAAATGTCTCTAGAAGTCTAATGAATTCTAAAGCATTACTATCTGAAGGACTATCGATATGTAAGTTAAAGTCCCCAGACAGAAGAATCTTATCATAGTTTGTGGACGCTACTGATAATAATTCCGCAATTTCTGACAAAAATTTACCAAATTATATTATTTCTGACAAAAATTATGCAACTACATTATCTTCTATCTAATCTCCTCATAAAAGTCTCCTGAAAAATGAATAACTTAACAGCTGTTTTGACTGGGTATTATGTAAATAAGGTGGTCTCTGACTTTTGCACAGTACTGTCTGTGTGGGCTGGTGATGTTTGATATATTGAAGAGTAACATGTGACTGTGACTGTGTTCATATCTGACATTCTGTCTTGTTTTATGTTTTACAGCTTCTGAAAACCACCTGCACTTGACCTGCTATGAGCTTCTCAAACTCTGGGCTGATGAGCAGAGGACGACGTCTTATAGAACCTACAGATTGTCTTGGTTGTCAAGTTTGTTCACTCATTGGTCAAATCTGTGATCACAGATGCAGGGATTTCTTTATTTTCCTGGATACCATTGGCTGCACCTCAGACAGTACATCTGTCAATCTCCTCACATTTGAGGTTGACCCCACATTGTTTAGAGGAACACAAGATGCTCCTCTTCCTCTCAAAGCACCTGGACTCCTGGGATCAACATCAACCCTCTCAAACCAGTGGAAATGTTGACAGACTCTCATAAACTCACTGTAGAAATCAAGACTGCAGCTGGGAGAGTTCAGTGTCCTTCAGGTTCCTGGAGGTCAGCGTCTCTGTTTAACACACAGTCATTGTGTTGTATGTGTCTGTCAGAATCTCATCATATGCTGATTTGATTATGCAGAATTCACATGCTTGAACGGTTTAAGAATATACAGAGTGTGCAAGAGAGTGTTTCTTTCTCATGTTAGGTTACTGTATTTTCAGTTTTGATTTGATGTGTACTTTATGTAAAGCCTTTTAATTATTTTATGCACTGTTTTTTTCACCCTTATTTTAATAATAAAAGTCTGGGGACATAGTAACATCCTGAAATGATGATTTCAAAGCCCCGTTATGTTAACAAAGGGGTGGTGTAGTCTTCATGGTGAACTGAACATGGTGTGATTTATTTATTTTTATTTCTATTTAAAATCAATCAATCAATCAATCAATCAATTAATAATCACTTTCCGGGCTCGCGCTCTACTCAGACCACGGCCGGGCAGAATAAGAGCTGTGAGATTTTTCACAGGTCAGTCTGAACAGTTTGAACCTGGTTTCTTTATCTGAGAGCTCGACTTTTGAAGCGACTACTTCCTAATAGTGACCACTGTAAAACAAACACACACAGACAGATATATGACTAAATAATAACATCATCAAAATAATTAAAGATTAAATATCTATAATTATCATTATTTAATCATTTATTTTACAACAATAATAATAATAACAACAATAATAATAAATAATTTACATCAGTCAAATTATTTTAGGATGACTATTATTATTATTATTATTATTATTATTATACAAAAAAATAAAGCACAGATCAAATTACATCCTTATAATAATTCCAAAGAAATATATTGAATCATTATTATGTAATCATTTATTTATTTTATAATTACAAAAATAATTATTATAATAAATATTATAAGGTAAATAAGTTATTTTTTATTATTATTATGATAACATTATTATTTTTATTATGTGCACATCATAGAATAAAACAATGAAAGTTTATTATTTTTATTATTATTATTTAATCGTTTGTTTATTTTATAATAATAATAATAATAATAATGTAAACTAATCTAATTATATTAAGATGACTATAATTATTATTATTTTTATGCAAAGAAAATAAAGCATTAATCATATAACATTCTTTTATTATTGAATAAATACATATAAGTAAATAAATAAATAAATAAATACATAAACAAATAAGAGAAATTATTTGAATTATTATTACGATTTAATTATTTATTTTACACTTATAAGAATAATTGCTCTAATAGTTATTATAAATAATGTAAATAAATTTATTTATTATGATTATGATAATAATTATTTTTATTATTTTAAAATAAAAATAAAGCATAAATCTAATTATTTTATATGATCAGTAAATAAATAGATAATAAAGAAAAATAAATAATATAAAGTACATTAAGAGAACAGATTAATTAAAAACAAGGTTATAAAAAGCCTTTCCCACTTAATGAAGTGCTGAGCTGTGATTGGTCTGTTAGTAAATTGTTTGTGGTTCACTAAACAACATTAAACTCTGAGTTTTGTTTATATGAACATTAAGAATCACTGTTCACCACATTTCATCTCAGTTTTCTACCCCGTCAAAAACACCATCAGACAGACTTTCTCTCTTTCAGAGAGACTTTATCTCTCCTCCTTCTGATTGATCTTTTTGGAGTGGATCAGTAAATTAGAGGTTTGGACTTCACTTCAAAAACACTTCACTACAAACTAAATCAAAGAAGTGTCTTTAAACTGATCCACAAACATCACCCAGTACTGTAATGTGTTGTTTGGAGGCCATGAAATCTGCACTCAGAGCAAGAATCAGTTTAAGCACATTAAAGGGTTCAGTTCACTAATGGCCAGCTCACTACACGGACTGCAGCTCGTCCACTCTGATGGAGTCAGACTGAAAGGACACTCATCAGCCCAGATTTCCTTCATGTTTCTCTGGATTTCAGCTCCGGCAGCGACACGAGAGAATCATCTGCCTGACTGGCCGCAGAATTTGGGCTCCTAATAGCTCTAAATCAGCAGGAGGTTCTTATTTTATCATTAAACTGTCAAAGAGCTCAGAGTTTGTATTGATCACCAGTCAAATTAGAGAGGCTGCTTTCACTCAGAAAGGGGCGGGGCCATCACACAAGGCCAGAGTTCAGATGTGCTGCTCTCATTTCTGAGAGCCGACTTGCTCACAGCTACAGAACAGGCCTGCGCTAACGGAGCTAATGTGTTTGAGATGTTCAGCCTTTTGCAATGAGATGTTGCTAAAATAAAGAAATGCTGCTGGTGCAGCTCGACTGCAGTAGCCTAGCATGATACAGCTTTACCCACAACACAGACTCAGTCCAGCTCAGTGAAGCTTCACTGACATCAGTTTAGACAGTAAAGACTCTAATCTGTGTTTCTGGGTGTGGAGCCATCAGCTTAAGCTGCTTTTGATCCACTGTCCTCATTAGCACTAGAGGCTAACAGGAGCTTAGCGAGAAGGCTAAAGCAGCACATTCACAGATCTTCTTATTCTAAACGAGTGTTGAGGTTTAGAGACTCAATTATGGCCTTTTTAGAAACTTCCTGAGCAAAACAATAAAACATTAAAGGATTTAACAAATTCAGCAGAAATGATTTTTGTAGCTGAGCTTTAAACTACAAACACAAAGACGGGGGGTTTCTGTTTATAGACCCCCAAATATATCATAATTACTATAACTTCAGAAGTTCTCATATAAAAGCATATTACTGTACGAACATCTGTGCAGTTAGACAAAGAGAAAAATATTAAAAAGACATCAATCCTTATGAAGAATTTCTGCTCATAAAGGAACAAATATAATAAAACTAACACACACAGACAGATATATGACTAAATAATATCATTATAATAATTAAAGATTAAATATCTTTATTATTATTATTTAATCATTTGTTTGTTTTACAATAATAATGATTTTAATAATTATAAATAATGAGTTTAATAAATGAGTTTAATTATTGTATGATTATTATTATTATTATTATTATTATTATTATTATTATTTAATCATTTGTTTATTTTGTAATAATAAAAGTAAATTTTGTAAATCAGTGTAATTATTTTAAGATGACTATCATTATTATTATAATTATTATTATTATTATACAAATAAAATAAAGCATACATAAAATTGAGTTCTTAAATTATTGAATAAATAAATACATATAAATTAATTAATTAATTAACTAATACAAATAAACATATTGAATTATTATTATATAATCATTTATTTTTCTTACACATAATTTAAATAATGTAAATAAGTATATTTATTATTCTGATAATTATTATTTTTATTATTTTAAAATTAAAATAAAACTAAATCAAATAACATTTTTATATTATTGAATAAATAAATAGATAATAATAATAATAATAATAATAATAATAATAACAATAATAACAAGTGAAAACTATTAAAAAGCCATCAATACTTATGCAGAATTTCTGCATATAAATTATTCATACACAAGCATAAAACTGCATACATGATCCTATAGTTCATACATCTCGTTGATAAGTAGCTGCTGGTGGATCTGCTGTAAATCTCAGCTTCTCAGTGTGGTGTAGAACACAGTCCGACACACTGTGGGCTATAAAAGTGACCACAGTGTCATCACAGAGTAAATGCTGCGGGTGACCTCTCTGTCTCAGGAGCAGGATTGCTGATCTAGAATCGTTTACTATGGAAATGACAGTCATAATTACTGATCCAACATCAGTCCTGTGCAGCCTTTGTGTTGCCTGAAATGTCCGTAGTGGTGAAGTTTTGTTCATTTCTGTAGCTCAAAGTAAGTCATTCTGTGTCCAACGCTACACTGACAAGTCTGCTGACTGTAATGGAGACCTAGATGAGGTTTGAGAGGGTTGAGAGAAGTTTTAGGGATGTATTTATGGAAACATCTGGGTTAATATTGCCTTCTAGTGTTTGAGCAACGTTACACATAACGCCAGCACCAAACTGAAGAAGCAGAACCAGTAATTGTAGTCATTTCAGTCAAATTTGATATTGGAATTTGTAAGACATTAAAAAAAGTCAAACAATAATACTGAGCTTTTCTGTGATGCTTCCTATGTTATATAGCTGCATTCTGTACTGTTTACTACCCAGTTCCTTTTTTGGACTGTGCTTTATTCCTTTAACAGATAAACACTGACCAAAATAAGAGAGAGGCTTTTCAGTTCCCAGCAGTCTAGAATACAGTTTAGAGATCTCATGGGTCTTAGGAGAAAATATAAAATTAGAGACAGTATATAAAATTAGAGACAGTATATAAAATTAGAGACGAGCTCAAGCCCTTTGCATTTAAAAGAACAGCACTACTTCACAGTTGTTTAGACGCGGTGGCCACGGAAATAAACATTCAAAAATAACTAATAAATAGATTTGGAATTATCAGTCGACTCCTTATTGGCTACATTTCAGACAGGAGAATATTATTTATATTATATGGGAACATATTTCAGATTTGAAAGGTTTAAATATGTATGTGTATTAAAAGCCGTCAAAGGCCTTGTGGCATTGTGATTATGAACTGATAAGTAAGATGAAATAAGTAAGAATAAGTAATAAGTATGATGTTAGAATGTCTGTCTCCTTCCACAGATCTCTCTGTCTTTCAGGAGATTTTAATGCTCTGTTTGTGCATTAATTGTAATAGTCTTGTTTGTGTTTTATATCAGCTGCAGTTCTGAAGGGGAACAGCACAGCCACAGCTCATGAGACGGCTTTTAACTTTGTTTTTCTTTTCTTATTTGACTCAGAAACTAAAACGAACATGATTTTGTCTTGTTAAATAATTACCTTGATCTCCTTTACATTAAAACGTTGAAAATCATGTACAATACTGACTCAGCTTGTGGTTCAAAGGCAGAAATCCTTTCTGAATTGATGCACAGGATCTTTGTCACAGTCCTGACGCAGTTCATGGTCCAGTTTTATGTTCCACAAATGAAATTAAGAATAACTACACATTTTCAATAAAGTTTCCATTCAACAAAGTTTGTTTTATGTTTACATTGGGATCAAATTGTTAGTGAACTACAGGAAGATTCTCTGCCTGGTGAAAAGGTTCTTCACATTGACAGATAACATGTTGTTTATGGTTCTATATAAAAATGATTCTATATAGCACCAAAAAAGGTTCTTCTATTGTACAGTGTGTTCAGCATGAAATGGTTCTAGATAGGGTTCATGGTGAAAGTGCTGTCTTTTTTGAGAGTGTAGTGGAACTTTTGGATGACTTTTCAGTGCCTTTTAACCCAGAAACTCTGCTGGGTGACTCTGGTAGTTTATTTCAGTTTATTTAATGTATTTATATTTTTAAGGCCTTAAAACACCTTAAAATGACGTCTTTAATGAGGCTATTTTGGTCGTTTTTTAAGTTTGGACGTCTTTTCAACTTTCATTTTGACCCTTAATGAAGCGCAGTTTAAACGGTCAGATACGAGGTTTCACCGCTGTTTCAGCGGCCAGATGTTCAGTGGGTGAGTCCAGCTGTGAGACTGTGTGTTGATATAAAGGCTGAGTGAAGAACACAGATCTGAAAATCACTCAGTCAGTTCTCTGTCTTCACTGCTCCACACATCTCGAGAAGCCTCTCGCTGCGACCTGTAGGACGGCTACTTGGACATCCAACCCGGTCCTCTCGTTACGTCAGAAGCCACGCCTATCTTCACTACATCACCACCTCATGAAACATACGACACTTAGCTACAAACAAAAGCAGATGTGAAGCGAACTCGCTGAAAGGGAAAAGTGTATCGTTTGTTAGCGATGTCGGTAAATAAAAATATTCAGTTTGTGTCTCAGTGTAGTTACAAAGCTATTTGTCATATTGTTGTCAGTGTTTTTGCTAAGTACACTAATGTCTCTCAATAAACACACGAAGATTCTACCGTAGCACACAGTACGTGACTGTTCTGCTGCTAGTCAAACGTTTCTAACTAACTAGCTAGTTAGCTAGCTAACTGTCTAGCCAACTAACTAGCATTACCTAACTATAACTAGGTAAAAAGAAACGGATGGCTGATAACAGCCCCCATGAATGCAACAAGACCTAAAACTTGATCATTTAACCATAAGTAATTGGTGTGTCGTCAAATATTGTGTGTGCTCAAACGACGGCTCAACATGCATCGTGTGGGTTTCCAACTTCATACAGACAAGTTATTAGCTAGCTAGCTAGTTAAGTTAGCAGCGTTACCGTCCAAATATTGATATATTACGCCTGATAACCTAGAAATCTCTATTCTGCATGCATCCTATGCATCCACCCTGAGAGTATCAGTAAGCTCACATTATGCTGTGTTGTTTTATATTTTACAGCATCCAACGCACCTGCAGGCCAATCCTGACACAGTATGGCTTTGCCAGGATGGTGTGTTCAGATGCCCCTGCTGCAGTTATGGCACTATGGAAAATTTTAAATTCTCTGTTCATATTCACAACCACATCAGACATACAGTAGAGCATGGAGCTATGGTGGGAACATTTCTTTAGATATTGATTGGTTTATTGAGTGATTGATTGATCTTGATAGATAGACAGACAGTGATTAATTTTAATGTAATGTAGTGCACTAAGTGTACTTGCATCTTACAGTCCAGATAAATAAGATGAGCTGTAGGCTAATTTCTTAGTGGGAGCCACTGAAGTGATGTGGAAAATTGTTAGTTTACCTGTTTGTGTTTTGTATAAGTTTCTGCACCTTATCTGCAGTGTTGATTACTTTGGTCTTGTGGTGTTGCTGTCTTACAGGTTACTTCATCAGCAAGTGCAACAATCAGTGCAGATCCACAGCACACTATCATTGCCTTTATTGCAGCAAAACAATAATACACAAAGACCAGTTAGAATACCATTTATCCCAGTGCAGCACTGAAACACATACTACCACGACCAAAGTGTCTCAGTCATCTCCTGCCTCTCCTGCTCCCTCTGTTGCTGCTTTTGATGCTGCCTCTCCTGCAGCTACGCCCGCAGCTGCTGCCCCTCCTGCAGACTCTCCTGCAGCTTCTGCCCCTCCTACACCCTCTCCTGCAGCTACTCCTGCTGCCCCTCCTGCAGCTACTCCTGCTGTCCCTGCACCACCTGCCCCAGCTGCCGTCCTCCATTCGTCAAGTTCTTCTGATCATGGCTCCTCTGCACCACCACTACCCCCCCAAAGACAACAGAAGAAAGCCACGGTGATGTGTTGTCGCTGTAGCCTAGTCCTAAATAGACGGAACCTACGGCTGCACCTCCGAAGACGACATGCCCCCATCAAAATGGACATAACGGCACAGAATCACCTCAGCGCTCAGTGTGTTGATTATGCAAATGGAGTGTTTGCAGTTGCAAAATCTTTCACTGCACCCAGCACGCCAATACATGCAATTAAAAAGACATGGGGTCCTGACCAAAAAACAAGATGTGAGCTGGACATCTGCAGAATCAATGCAGAGTTTGCAGAGAGGTCAAACATCCGTCCGTTTGAGTGCCACCACATCCAGTCCCTCACATACTGCCCACCATCTAAAACAGACACTCCATCACTTACAGAGGATGTCTTAGATGTTATGGTGCAAGACAAGTGGTTTGGGGAGGACAAAAAGAACAGATGTTTGGCATGTCAGAGAGAGACAAACGATGCAGGAGCCCCTCTGTCCTGTCTGGTGACTGTGTGTGGACCCCCCTACAAAAGTACGTTTCTGTATACGAGTCAAGCATTTCCTGTTACAGCAGGCTTGGCCGAGTGGTGGTTACATATGACTCTAAGAAAATTTCATGGCATTGTGCAAAACCAAGGCAGTCATGCATACATAAAAATGTTGCCAAATGGCGTTTATTTGAAACAGAACGTGCACTCTTCAGAAAAACCAGAAGTGTGGAGGAGGCCATCACAGAACATTTTCCGAGTGACATGGAAAGTGCTGACCTAGAGGAAGGAGCCCAGTACCCACCAGAAGGCAAAAATCTGTCACGGATGGTCCAGTACATTTTTCATAAGAAGAAACTGCCAGCAGTTTTCCCCCCAGACGTGGTTAATTTCCCTGTGCACTTCATACCATCAGAAGCCTTTTGCACAGAATGTTTAGAGCCCTGTCCTCTAAGCGAACCTGTGCTTATTACATCAAAGGCCAAAATCCTGACCATCACTGATGTTATAGAGGGCATGTTCTCTTTTTATTTAAATTGATCACTATATTAATATTTCATTACTCACTACATGTACTTGCAACCATGACTTATAATATTAACAGCCTAACTTCCTTTCCAGCAATTCACACATATAGTCTTATTAAGAGGGTAACATACATTGGTTTTAGTATTATATGATGTATAGACACGTTACACTGTAACAGTGATAGATAAATAAATAACCTCTTTACACTCACTTGTTTTCATTAGGAATTTCAATGTACAGCAAATGGTGCTGCAGGTGTGGCATGATATATCGATACCAGGAGTGGTCTGACGGTGTCCACAATTTTGACGACCACACGCTTCTGTCAATATACATGTGCCATTTCCTACGCAACACTCTCCAGGTAGGAACCATGTTCTGTTGTATTAATCATATAAAACAATTGTAAACAACTTATCTAATTAATATATTGTAAAGTCTTCAAATGTCAAACAATTTGTCAGACTCAGGCTGTGGGTAGTGCCGTTGAAGTGTTGGAGAAGACCTCTGGTAAAACCTATCCTTCCAAGCAAAGGGTCCTGCAGGCTTACTTAAGCTTTGAAGCACTGTCAGACCACCGTTACACATATGCGTGTGTATCATGTGGTTATCGTCCAGTATCCGTTGTGATGGACCTTCATAAGAAGGGTGTTTTCAGTATGCCTGGTAAGTCAATGCATTTATTTGTTTTCCTAGTCTTACATTGTTTCAAGCACCATGTGTCCAACTCAGGTGAGACTTTTTGGGACATGCCTACTTAAGTCTTTGTTTCTTTAGTGAGTGGCATAGAGGAGCCACCACAGGACTTTGATGGAAAAGTGAATGTTGAAGATTTTTGGGAGATGGTTTCTCTGGAAATGATCAGCCGTGGGTTGGTTCCAAGTAAGTATGATCCACATGATGAATGTTCTGTTTGAGCAGGAATGACTGTATTCCTGCGTTTTTTTGTGTATCATAGAATGATGCACTGTTACTTTAATATTATTTTCTCCCATAATTTGAAGGCAATAGGTCAAATCCATTCGTGGTCCATCCCAGTTACCATAATTGGGCCCATGGATTGGTCCGCACACACGAGGAGCAGATCTCGTACTCAACACTGAGTACAAAAAAGTGCATTCTAGTGCAAAGAAAGAATCCGAGTTTAACCTCACAGAGGACCGGCTGACTGACGAACTTCTTAAGCTCAAGGTGTTTGACTTGTTAAATCACTTTCTGTCAGTTCTGTCGTGGATTTTATTGTTAAATGTTGCTAAACAAACTGTGCTGTGTTCATTATAGATGGAAGTTGTCCGTTCTCTGTGCAAGCAGTGTGGCGTAGACCCCAAGGGCTCACGGATGGACCTGGTAGGAAGACTGCAACAAGAAATGAAGAACAGAGCAAGCTATGACAAGGTGTTTTCACAGATCTGGGGAGCTTCTGGTAAGTTGTCTTGTATTACAGAGAGACCATGCCTGCAAACAATTGGCTTGCAGTTCTTTGAGAGTAAGATTTTTCTTTAATTAAAATGGTCCTGTGATTTATTGTTTTCTTTAAACAGGTGGATGGGCTGTGGTCACCTGTCCTTGTGCTGTGGTGTATGGTGTTAAGTTTAACATAAGGGCTGAGAGCCCACGGGACTTTGCTGACCTTTTGCTGTCAATGAAACATTTTCCAAATGTTACATTGTATGATTTCGCTAGAAGTTTGGCAGCACATGCCAATCTACAAGAAACGGAATCATTGCCCTTCAGTCCTCATGGCGGGAGGCTACTTGAGCCTCTTGAAGAGAACATCAGACTTGCCACTTCTGGGCAGATAAAAGTGAACTTGCCGTGGCTAACCACCAAGAAGACAGTACCTGATGAAAATGGCCACCCTCTGACTGGATCATCTGAACATCATGCTCTCTATGACAGATTTCATGAGGCTAACTCTAAAGATGTCAGGGACGTCTTGCGAAAGGTGGACCTGGTCCCTGAGTTATGTGGTGGGCTCAACAGCCAGTGTGTTGAACAGCTCTTCTCTGGAATGAGGAAAAACAATCATTTTCTCAACATGATGACTCCCTAATCGCATATCTTTTTGATGTGATACATTTTGCATCACTACAACAATGAGAGGAATTTAAAAACCATAGAAAACATGAAGAAAAGACTGGGCAAGGGACTGGACATAAGGTTAAATTCCAATGGTCAGACAGTGTTGGCTATGTGTGTATTCCACCTTCATTCTGAAGTATTAGTGGGAATGTCACATTTATGTAATGTTGCTGTATAGTGCCATTAAGTTATGTTTGCCTTTTAATTAAAGGTGATTTCTCAGCTTTTTCATGTTGCTATTTAGAACATAATGCTTTATCTTACATATGTATAGGAAACATTACACAACATTGCGCTGATGAGAAATGCGTACAATACAACTGATTGACTTATTCAAAATCATTTGGTTTTCACTTTTGCAGCACCAGCTGAAGCTCCAGCCAAAAGAGCAACAGAGGTTGAAGCCCCACCCACAAGAACAATGGAAGCAGCAGCAGAAACTCTGCCATCCTCTGGTCTGACCACAGTGTGCTGTTTTTGTAGGTCTGGTTGTACAAATTCATAAAAACTTGAAACAGTCATGGTTTTTATACTTATCTTTTCATTGGATACCATATCTGCGTTATATGCTTCATAACATGCCTCGGTATCACAGAAATGTGATGAACCATTTACATATTCGAAACATATTTGGTTATTATTTTCATGTGTGGTTTCACATGTATGGCAGGAGATCTACCAGCGTGCAGTGATGACTGTTGGGGACTACTACATCTGGACCACATAATTGCCAGATCGGAGACCACGGACTCAGAGGTGCATGTTTTACAGGGGCATAGTTTTATGCATATATTTGTTTTTGTTTATTTATTTATTTATTGCTTGCTGCAAGGTCTCTGTTAGTAATAAACTGTCTGGGTAGTAACGTTGTTGGTCCTAATTTGTTGGCACCTGTGTGTATGAGATCATTGATCTTTAAAAGTGCTCTATGTGGAATATTGTGGACCATCTTGAAAATGTCCAGATCTCCCTTTCTTGTGCAGCTTGATAATGTGCTGGATCCCACAAAATCAGCTACTGAGTTGTTGGGAGAAGTGGGCACCACTGTTTTATCGAGATGGGACTTCCAAACCTTGGGTTTAAAGCAGCAGTTGGAAGCAACAGTTAGTACAGATAGTACAGATGTGACAATCCTGTTTTTAAATGGACTTTTAGAACTTTAAATTTTTATAACTTTACAGCTCGCTTTCTCTCTGGTCTTACAGATTGCCAACTGTTGCTTTGAGATGATCTGCAAACTTGCCAGGGAGAAGGTCTGTGAGGAGATACTTGGTAGCATTACACACAATAAAATCCTTAAATGTTTGTATCAGTAATTTTAAGCTTTGTGTTTTGAAATGACTAAAGTTTGTCTTATCAGGGAAAGGATGTCCATGCAGTAGACGCTGATGTTGTTTTTTTTACTATCACCCTGTTATTCATGTTCATGAGTAATAATGTCATTTGTGTTATTACTTTTAAAATGATCTTTTTTTTTGTTTTGCCTTTTTTATTTCTGATGGATATCTAGGGTCAGCTGCAATTTCTCTGATGTTTTATTTTAGTAAACAGTTGATTGATGTCCTGGCTCTATTCATAATAATGAGGTGACTAAGAAATAGTGTTGTCTCGTGTTGCAGCACCCTGTATTGGCATATGCCAAATATGCATGCAGCTAGCGTATCTTTGATTATTGTGTAACAGACGTGTACAATACCAGAAGTATGGTGTCCCTGGGAAATGTAGATGGTACATTGTATTTACCATTGTATTTATCTCAATTAACATCTATAGGCTGATGCAGCATCCAAAGCCTGTCTCCTTTTCCCTGTGTGGAAACCTGGACACTGGTTCCTCTGCGTAAGTCATTCAATACAGTTGTCATTTCACTCAGTTTTTGCTATTGGAACATAAGTTATTTTTTGGAAAATTATTTATTTTTAAATGATTCCCCTCATGTAGCATCTGGCGTCTAGCCAAATATTTTTTTAAATAGTATTTGTTCTCTGATTGGAAAGAACAGGAGTTTATGTGAATAATGTCTTTTTAATTCATGTGTTATTGTTAGTGATACAGTTCTAGGTCAAAATTATATGAAAGAATTCAAACAAAGTAACAAAAGGTAATGCAGGATGTTACAGAGATGGCATGTGAACTCTTGATTCAACAGTCTGAATGAACCACAAAGCTCTGTTCCACCCAAACATGTACGTTTCTGGCCAGAGCTGTTAATTGATTCCCCCATATGTAAGTATGGTGTCTGCTGTTAGTGTTGAATTCCCAGGTCCACCCTATCACCATGGATTCTGTCACCAGGTTGTGTCCAACATGTAAAGTGAGCTGTTTGTGAGTGAAAAGCAAAGATTGACATATGTTGCCATCATAACTTGTGTACTTCAGGTCCTGATGCCAAAATATTGCAGGATTTCTCAGCTGGACTCAGCTGACCCTAGTGGTTTTGGGGACAAAAAATATTTGACCATTTTCAGGTTTAATTTTAACACTCATAATAGAAACTGTTCAGCGTTCCTTATGGATTCATTGTTCCTTATAACTTTCAGAGTTCTGAAAGTCAAATGTTATTTGTGATGTTCCACATGTTCTTTTATTCTGCATGTTCTGCAAGTCATAGACAGCTGCCCTTCGAAGTGTTACCAGTACAAATAATGTTGGCCAAATAGGCCATTTTTATTTGGCCTTCAAGTAAATCTTAGGCTGTTGTCTATGGCTTCGGGGATGGGTGGTGGTTTTGTTATACTGATGTTCAGTCTGAGTTCTGTGCCATAGCACTCTGTCTGGATTGCCCTCCAATATGATAAAAAAGAGCTGAATATTTTATCTTTTGCAGCTCAGTTGCAACACGTCTGGTCCCTGGGCACTGGAAGCTCATCAAAAACAAGGTACAGTAGTACAAAAATGATCAAAATCAACATTTTTCACTCCTTGTTCAGTGTTGTATGTTAACAATTCTTAAAACAATGTCTTGACAGGATATTCCAGCCCAGTTGGAGGTTGATGACTGTGGTGTTTTCATGCTGTTGGTAAGCTGTAAATTAACGGACTAGGGCTGTTCTGTTCGCACAAGCTTTGTGCGTTAAACAGTTAAGGTGTACATGGTCCAGTGTTATCTATACCTCCATTAAAGATACAGAATAGTCAATATCAGTCACATTCTAGTAGTTTAATGTTGAGGGTTTCCAGTAAGGATTTAAACTACATTCTCAACTTTGTCTTCCATCTGTTAGCATGACATCCCACGGCTTCGTAGATGGTGGTGTCAGTTGCTTTTGGAAAACATGTCACCTCCAAGGTACACAAACATACATACTCAAGTGAAATGTTTTTATGTACATGTGGCCTACTCCTCAGACACACTGTAAATATTCCTTCTTAGAATGGTGAGCTGCTATGTGCCAGGAGAGGACAGACAGCGTAATGAGGGCAAGATTGAGGAACCTGCAAGGTATGATGGTATAGTTGAGCCCACATAAGGGCACACATCAGTGCACAGCTGGTCCTATTTAAAATAGTTGTATATAGCTCAATTTTAACATGTTACATGGTCCCATCCTGAATGGTATTAATTCTTCATCGACTGCTGTTTGTAACACTGTAGGTTTTGTTCTCAGAGCGGTCTTATCTTGCCTTTATTGTTATCAATAAACACAGTGCCAAATTCTTCAATTTTGGGTTATAAGGAGACTCCAGTAAATAGCACAATATTCTTGTGGTTCCAACCTTGTGTAAGGCAGACAACATCTTGAACACACTGGTTCTTAACAATGGACATGCAGATGTGTCCATCCCTCCATCCTCTGACCCCTAGGCACAGAGATGACCTTAGGATAACTATATAGGATAACCTACAACTATGCATAAATGTATATGAACATATTCATGAGTGTGACATTTTATATTTTGTCATGAACTGACCCTACAGTATGGACAGCGGACTGAGCATTGTGCCATGGCAGTCTAGAGTGTCACTTAAGTTCTGTATGCAGGTCAGCCTTATTTGCCCCACTGGTCATCTGGGGGGAACTGTCTGCTCCTTCTTCTCCACCTCTCCTTTATTTCTCTTAACTTCTCTTATTCTCACCATTGTTGAGCTCTTCTGTTGAGATCTGTTTGCTCTATTTCCCTCACTCATCTCGTCATCTCACTCATTTTGGGTTTGTTTTTACGTTCTTTGCATTTATTGCATGTACATTTATTTGGTTATTATATGACCATGCATTTAGATTAATTGACAACCATTGTATTTAACAATTGGCCACCATTTCATGTAATACAAATGTCATTGTTTAGTCTATGCCCTATTTAATTTTTGAAACAAATGCCTCATAGTGCATCGAAATATAAAAAGCAAAAGTGTAATTTAGTGGAGTCACGTTAATTGGTCTTAGTGATCTTACAGTAGTGGGGATTGATGCACCTTACATAGTTGATGCTGTAATATGTATCACCCCAGTGCATTGTCCTGACCCATACAAACATAAGCCTTCCAGTCTGGTCAACTAAATTTACATGTGACGCTATTGAAATGTTTCTTAATTGTACAACAGTTGTCACAATATAATTTCTCTTAGGAAAATTCAACGCGTTGAATCCGTGGATGGTGAAGGAGGGCGAATGGATACCATTTCCATTGTCCAGGTATTTATGTGGCTGAACTGGGCAGTTTCTTTTTGCTTACTGTGCTGTAGCCTTCACAGATGATTAAGCTGGGGTTCGTGTTCTAAAATTGGAATGGAGAAGTGGTATAATATTTTAATATTTCCCTGCTTTTGTTTCACTGAAGAAATACTGTAAAACAATATCTGCCTGCTTCTGTAATGTATTTCACAGATGCCTCTCATCATCCTGGAGGACAGACTCTTAGACGTAGTCCTGGAAGAGGGTGACAAAGCTTTTCTGAAGCTGTCACTGGTTTGTCGCCTCTTCCGGAACATAGTTGAAAGAGAATCATTCCGGCTCGAGCACATTTTCAGTGGCTTGACAGTAAGTAGAAGAAGTATTATGATATTTCTGTACCCTTTAGATGAGGACGGGTTTTATTCCTTATAACAAGGGGTTGTAATCTGATTGATAATTCTCAAATTTGAAACATACAGGTGTAGCGCCATGGAAACTCCACAGTGCGGTCTACCGAGCAGAGTTCCGGAGAATGTATCGATTGGACTGCTGCCAGAACTGTGACAGCTTACCAGGTATGCATACTGTGTCTGAATTTTGAGGATTGTTCCTGAGGTCAGTGGTTGCAAAAGAAGTTAACACAAAAATCTATTGTGTGTTGGGACCTGAAGATGTTGTTAGAAGTATGCTGCTGTGCTTTAATATTAAAAGTATACCTCTGTATGCTATTTATTGTCCTACAGGCTACATTGGGCGTGGGAGACGGGGGGAACTTCTAGCATTTTACAGTGAAGACACGCCCCCTGGGTTCTGTAGCCGATTCTGCAAAGAGCTTGAAGATTTGAGGATGTGAATAAGTGGATTGTTATTGCGCACATTGGGGGACTTTTAAATAAAGAATGAAACTGCTGTGCTTGTTTTTCCTTGTCTTTCCTTGTCATTGATACAGACTGCACAGGTGTGACCGAACCACATTTGAAGTTTAGTGTTTTACATGCCGACAAGGTGATAATACAATAAAGTGACAGTACAATAGTAATAAGGTGAATTTAAGCATTTATTTAGATACTGTAAGCTGTACTTAAGAGTTCAGAAGTACACATTCTATTTGACTTTATTTTAAGCAACCATATTTACAGGGATTTGTGGATGGAGTGCTAAGCTAGACGGTGAGGTATGCAGCTAAATTTATGTAAATTGTGCACCTTATGGGGACAAGAGTGTTTCATTGGGTTGAGGCAAGGTCTGTTGAAGTGGATGAGCCCCAGGCAACATGCTAGGATAATTACAACCTGAATTCTTTTTGGAGTTGATTAACACACCATCCTTTTAAATTTGAATCATTCCATCAGACCAAGTTCTGTATAAAACACATTACATTCAGTGACTTACAGAAGTGCCACCTGCCTGATGGTCATCAACATTTTCTGGTTAACAAAAGATGAACATATTTTTCCCATCACTGTTTGCATTGTGAACACTTACGCTCTTGTATGTTTCTGAAGGTAACATATTTTCTAAACTAAAAGCTTTGGGAAATTGGGGTGTCGTAACAGCGATTCAGGTAAACCACAAAATCACACAAATAGCTAAAACAATAACTACAAGACGAATACAAGAAAACAATATGTAAAATATATGCCTGTGGCTCTTTCTGTGCAAAATGAAATAATTTGCATTATATATTGTCTCTCAGAGAGACATTATATCACATTACACAGTGTGATTGCAGGGGGCAGGAATGACCTCTTGAAGCAATTGACATTGCAACAGCCTCCGAGTTGTATTGGAAGTCTAAGGTGTACATGGGAAGGAGGAAAGGTAAGGGTACAGTCACCTGCAGTTCTGCTGTGCTGCTAACCACCTGTTCAGACACAGACCCCCTGTTCAGACACAGACCCCCCCATAGCTGCACAAACTGTGCTCTGTCAGTATTGATGATCCAGGAGGTTGTGGAGTTGTCCAACCTCCATACGTGCTTTCATGTGGCTTTATGCAACCATGGTTACAAGTTAATACATTAAAAATGGTCTAATATTTCAGAGCTTATCATACTGTATACATATGAATTATGAAGTGATTCTACTGTAGAATCTTTAAGTAATTGGCAGCCAAAATCCCCATAATTGTCAAGTGTATTTTATAAATAAGTAAAACTCAGCAAAATATAATAAGTAGTCCATAAAACAAGGAAATATCAGTTAAGAGCCCATCATACTATGTACATATGCACTATGAAGTGATCGTGCTGTACCATTTTTAAATAATTGTCAGTCAACATTCTCAAACCGGCCAATATTAATTATGTATAAATAAAAATCCCCACTTTATAAAATTGTCATTTCCAAAATAAGTCAACAAAACCAACTGGTTTTATGAAGTCTATACTGCTATGTGCATTCAAAACATTGAGTGATATTACTGTAGAGGTGTTTTAAAAATTGGCAGTAAAATGTTTTTCATTTGTCAGTGTAACCAAATCATAATTCAACACGCTCTGAAATGATCATTTTCAAGTAGTCCATAAAACCAACAGAAGTAAGTTCAGAGTTTATCATATTATTTACTTACCAACTATAAAGTGATTTTACTGTGGCATTTTTAACCAAGTGGAAGACACAATCCTCATATTTGTCAATATATTTTAATAATAGGTAAAACAAAATTCGGTGTCATGAAATACAGGGGGGCAAAATCTGGCAAGTTTATGTATTAGAGAGAAAAAATTACAGAAGATTTAAGAGATAAATTTTGATTTAAGAGGTAAATGCTCTTTTTACAAAAGTTGTCAATGTTTCTGAAGAATAATTTGACAGATTCATAACATGAAATAAGAGTCGGATTAGATAGAATATTTGTTTTTGAATACCAGAAACAGGGTAAAATGTTTAAAAAAAAGAATTTAATGAAAATGAAAGCAGTAGAATTATGATTAGTTTACCAAACATGCAAAAGTTACAATTAATCTCCTTTTTAAAGTAAATATTACATCAGCAAATTTGAAATGCTTTTTACCATTTCATCAATCTTTTACCAGCACTGTGCAACAGGTACCTGTCTAGAGAGCATTTTAAGCATGCAGTCTTCCAACAATGTCAAATTACCTGAAACAAAGACAGGAAAATGTACAACTGTGTTTCACTACAAAGGCATCAGAAAAGTACATACAGTGATCCTGATACAGGGAGACATTCTTTATAGAATCTCCTACTACTGAAGTGGACGGCTGAGTCAATCATCTCAATGACCTCTTGCAATCAACCATGCAAACTGACCTCTTGAGACTGGAGGAATAGTGCACTGGGGTGTGTTTGGGAGAAAGGGTTCCACACTGACTGGAGAACTGCTGGTTTTCTTGTTGGCTGCTTCTGCCATCACAAAAACAGGATCTGGTTCAGAAGGAAATCTGTATTATAACATGGTTTATTTGATTTATGTGTCAGTAACATTGATCAGGGCGAGGATTTTAACTGCTGATTATTTGAAATGCTTTGGTAAAATCACTGCACGTAATGCGAGGAGCAAAATACACATCTAAGAAAAAAGGGGCGAACCTGTCACTGGGGTGGGGCCCTCAGGGGTCCATCTCAGTCCCTTCAGTCAGGGAACATAACTGAACCATAATCCACTGAAATGATATGTTCTGAGCTGTACTGACTCAACACACCCCGTCTCGCCTCCAGGCTTTATTTTACTGTTCTGTTTAAAACATTCGGTTATGAAAAGGTACAAATACGAACTTTTCACCTGGAACAACTTATTTAAGGTTCACAATCAGACCTTAAACCACTGCTGAACCTCTGAGGGAACATTTACACTGTTTGTGCCTAAATGAACGGAAAACGTCCCTGAACAGAACCTTCATTACTAACCGTGTGAAAAAGACTCTGAACTGATATCTGTTCATTTTATTTTCTAAGTATCCAATTCTAATTATTATGTAGTTGGACTAGTAATTATGAGGATAATGCTGGGGTGAAATGACTTCATAATTCATATGTACAGAATATTATGAACTCAAATGATATCTGTTGGTTTTATGAACTACTTATTGGAAATGATCATTTAAAAATGTGTTTAGATGTGCTTATTAAAGCATAAAGTGCTTATTAAAACATAAACATAAAAGGAAAGTCGAGATATGTTCAGTACAAATCCTAACCGAACCGAAAAACAACACAAACGCAGAAAACCGTCAACAGCGCCGCTCTACGGAGAGTATGCGTAAATCAAGCGCCACGAAGCGCTTCTTGAAAACGTCAGCGCTATATGCGTAAGATCGAGCTACACCGTGCTGCTTGAACGCACAGCGTGATTGACAGGCTCGTGAGGTGACGTAGGCGGGGTTGGATGTCGCAGCCGGACACAGCTGTTTCAGTGTGAGTGCAGACTCCGGGTCCCGGATGTAGTCCGGCAGTCTGTGTGTCCAGTCTTCCTCAGAGCTCCGTCTTCATGGAGCTCCCCGTTTGTTTCTACATGGATTTAGTAATGAAGCGGTTTTAGCGCGCGACTGATTCTCCTGAGAGAAACTACGAGAACGAGTCCATCAGAAGAGAAGCGCCCTCTACAGGTTTAACCCTGCAGTCTACAGACCCGGAGGAGGCGGACAGTAAGTAGCCTTCAGTGCTGAGATGAAGTAGGTCGGGTTACTCGGACTTTGGACCGGACCGGGGCTCTTTCCCGATGGCTGGTTCGGTGTCTGTTGGTCGGTTTGACCGCGTGTCGTTGAAGTTTCGTGTTGACCGCAGTAAAGTCGTCTCGCGGTCAGCGGCTCGGATTTCTACCGGCTCGAGCTCCGGACTGCAGTACCGCACATCCACAAACACTGGTAGCTTCAAAAGTCGAGCTCTCAGATAAAGAAACCAGGTTCAAACTGTTCAGACTGACCTGTGAAAAACCTCACAGCTCTTATTCTGCCCGGCCGTGGTCTGAGTAGAGCGCGAGCCCGGAAAGGGAAAGTCAGTGAAATATGAGCGGTTTTTTGACCTCGGCAGTTGATTTTCAGCACTAATGACTTCAGAATCTATGAAAGTGTTGATTCAGCAGCTCGGTTTGGAAAAGATTCACAGACGGAGCTGCTGTGTCTGATCACTACATACAGCTGTGTCTCCTTAGGAATCAGACTGTCTGACTCTGCAGTTTAACTCCACACTAACATCATCAGGAACCTTCAGACTCCCTTGTTGTTCATATTACTCGATTTGGAAAAGATTCACAAACGGATTTTGTGATATTTGGTTATTTGATTGTTGAATCTTTTCCAAACCGAGCTGCTGAATCAACACCTTCATAGATTTTGAAGTCATTAGTGTTGAAAATCACCTGCCGAGGTAAAAAACGCTCATATTTCACTGACTGGCTCTGTGGAACTTAAGAGGTGAGAAGCATAAATGTTCTTACACTGACCAAAACTATGAGACTCTCCTGCACCTGGATGTGAATCTTAGAAAAGTGAACAGAGAACAGAGAGTATCTCAGTGGTCAGAGAAATTGGTCAGGATAATTCACTGACAATAGTGGCCATTTTACCCTTGAGCTTATGGGAAAATAACATTTTCTGAAGGTTGAGCGCTTACTTTGATGAATACTTTGCCAAAAACACCAAAGAAGAAAATTTGAAAGAGATTCAAGGCATAAAATGAACTCTGTTCTCAGAAAGTGTGTAATACATGTGTGTCACTTGGACGAGTGTCGACCAAACGTAGAAGGAAAATGTAGCAACTTTCACTTTACCTTCTCCAAAGAGTGTTTAGAGAAATTACTGAGTGTAATAAGAGATGAAGTCATTGTGTGATGGTGGGAGACGCATTAAAGACTACAGCTCTTAACAGATGGTTGAATGTGTTTTAGTCACTTTCACAGTAAGAGACCAGACTCTCCTGAGCCCAGCTGTGTGTCTATGAAGAGTGATCAGTCAATGGGTAGAGGCATATACTTCAAACAGGGAGAGTCTTCACCTGAACTGAGGTGAGTACAGTATCATGGATAATATTTATTACCCCCCTAAATAGAGGGAGTAAAAGACCACTGTAAACACCAGTGCAGTGTCCCCATAGATGACTTTATCTAGAATGAGGAAAAGCCCATGATCGCCCCCTACTGTCTGGATCGAGGCATAGCCAATCGATCACAGATCACTATAATAAGAGCTACTGGTAGATTCTCTATTTAAGAGAAGAGCTAAGCTTTATGTCTGTTAATACTCTTTATCATGGATTCACCATCATTTTCCTACTTTTTACACATGAGTTCTCAAATGACTCCAGAGTTATGATTTTACCACAGATGAATTATTCTATTTATAAGCTACTGGGCAACAAATCATGTACCACTATAGTTACTACTAGTACTAGTACCATAGAGTAGTATCACTCTACGTTAAGTAAGTACAATTTTTTTTTTTAACTCGCCACATTTTCACTCTCAGTTCCACCTGATTAAATTGGCTAGTTCTTTTCTGAGCTGAATTATGGATGAAAAAGTGACAAATTTAATGAAAAATAAATAAATAAATGAGTGGAGAAACAATCTGTGTGCAGATGCTTCCAGACAGGTGTGCTGGATGATACCATTAAGCAGATAACATCCCACTGTACTCTGTGTCATGTATAAAAATGCTGAGCTGACCCATCTGACCTCAACTTTGGATGTAAATGACTGTGAAAGAGGGTCATTATTGGGGCACAGAGCTTCAGTCACAGAGGCTGCTCATCTGTCGGAAAAGAGGTTGGCTTCGCACAGGATAATGATCCTAAACACATCTCAGAATCCACAATGAACTACCTCAAGAGGTGCAAGCTGAAGGTTTTGCCAGGACCTTCACAGTCCCCTGACCTAACCAGCATTGCAAATCTGTGGATAAACCTCAAAAGAGCAAGGCGGCCCAAGAATCTCAAAGAGCAAGAAGTCTTTTGCAAGGAAGACTGGGTGAAAATCCCTAAAACAAGACCTGATAGACTTTGGCTACAGTGAGTGTTTACAAGCTGTGATATTTGCCAAAAGGGGTGTTACTAAGTACTGAACATGCAGGGTGCCCTTGTGCTTTTTTTTTAACTGTAAAAGATGGAAATAAAAAAGTAATCTTGCTTAAAATATTTAAAAAATGTGAAATCTTTAACTTTGTGTCTTTTGGAAATCAGGTTTTCTCTTACTCAAAATCTGCTCAAAATTTCTGTATGTAAGACTTTTACATATGGCTGTATGTAAGTAGTGTAAGCAAGTTTAATGTTTCTTCAGTTAACATTTTCACAGGCTGAGGTGGTGATGTTGTGTTCTGCTTGCCTTTCTGAAAAAAATAAACACACCACTCTATGATTTCAGTTCAGCATCTTAAGCCCCTTTATATGTGCACATCCTAATGCATATTATCCTGTAATGACATGAAGATCAATGAATAATGATTGACGTACTAAGTTATAAGATTGAGTAATTAAATACTAAACCCACTGAGAGATCTTTAGTGTTTAGGTGTTAATATGTCTACAGAAAGCAGATTTAGAGAGATATTTATAATTGTAATGTAACAATCTTTTGCCATTTTGTGGGTCCAACAACATTTTTATGTGAAAGACACTTTTATTAATTATTTCCTGGCAGAGAATTCCCACCCACAAGAAAAAAACAATATATGTTTGTTTTCTAACATGTAGACTAATAATTTCTCCACATTATTTATTCAGAATGCAGGACCATATTCACATTTCACCATCATTGTTCTTGGGTGAAAGCTTGAACTGCAGGAAGTGAGTAATAAAGTAACTGAAACATGTACTAGTGTACTGACTCTAATATGTAGTGTACTGACTCTAATATGTAGTATACTGATGCGATTTTGAGCAGTTTGTTGTGTTTTATTACATAAAAAATATCTGCAGTCCAGTTTTAAAGTTTCTCAGTGGTCCTCATATGAGATCCACTGAACTATGACATGGTGGTGTTTCAGTCGTTTTCTGTTAATGTTTATGTCCAATCAGGAACTGGAGCACAAAGTCATCTCTCTGGTGAAGAATCAGCTGAAGAGGTTCAAGAAGGTACTGAGTTCAGATTTCCCAGCATGCTCTGAGAGGGAGGTGGAGGATGAGGTGGATCAGACTGTCAGAGAAGGAACACTGCAGATCGCACTGCACGTCCTGAGGAACATGAACCAGACAGACCTCGCCAACACACTACAAACCAGTAAGAACTCTGTCACACTGGAACACTGAGCAGCTCTGGAAAGCCTGTATATACAGTGGTGATCTTTACATGAGGCTTAGGGTCCCCATGAAAATACAAAGCAGAAATATTGTGCATGTTAAATTTATTTATTTTATTATTTTAGTAATTTAATTAAGATTCATTTTTTTTAGATGTTTTATGTATTATGCATATTTTGTTAAATTTGAAAACCTACCATTCACTCTCCAGTCCATACTGTCCATATAAAGAAACAAAGCCCACACAAACATTATAAGTGATAATTAAAAAAAAAAATGTGATAAATGTAGGATTTGGGTTTTTTAAATACTCTAATAATATTCTTAACCCATTCTCAAAGTTAGATATTGAAATTAGGTATATTGACTAGATTTAAGATGATTTCACTTGTCAAGACATCATTTTGTGCAGTATAGACGGCTGTGCCACTCGGGGACCACCCAGAGCCACGACTAGTTTAAAAATGTACCACCAGGGGGCCTCATTCCTGTCTTTACCCTAGAACCTCAGAATCACTAATTCCACCCCTTTGTACATATACGCTCTGTTCTGACACAGTTTCCCTGATACAGAGCGCATTCCGTTATTTCTTTTCCATAATAAAGTTAATTATTTTACTAGTAACGAGTAAACTGAGCATAGAAATTCTGGACAGTTAAATATAAACAATCTGGAAGGAATTTGTTCAGGACAAAAGAGCAAAAAGATGATCCTTTATATCTAAATTAATTGTGGTTATTTAATTTTGCTGATGATTCCTAGACAAGAGAACCACAGAGCACAGTTCAGTTTAATATTGTGCTCCGTGTTGATAGAAGGGTAATGTGTGTTATTGTGTTTGTGGTAAGGATGTCAGACATTAACATGTTTATTGTTATTGTTTATTGTAATAATCTTTTTTCAGAACTGGCTCCTGCTTGTCATCAAAAGTTCAAATCTACATTGAAAAAGAAATTCCAGAGAATTAATGAAGGAATCTCATATCATGGAGGCTCAACACTTCTGAATGAGATCTACACAGAGCTCTACATTACAGAAGGGGGGAGTGTAGAGATCAAGAATGAACATGAGGTGAGACAGATTGAGACAGCGTCCAGGAGACCAGCAACACAGGAGAGACCCATCAACTGCAGTGACCTCTTTAAAGACACAGCCGTCAGAACTGTACTGACTAATGGAGTTGCTGGAATTGGAAAAACAGTCTCAGTGCAGAAGTTCATTCTGGACTGGGCTGAAGGAAAAGCAAATCAGGACATCCTCTTCATATTTCCACTTCCTTTTAGGGAGCTGAATTCAGTGAAGAGTAGAAAACTCAGTCTGGTTGATCTTCTTCGTCTCTTTTTCACAGACATAAAAAAGTTAAAACCAACAGATTATTATCAGTACAAAGTCTTGTTCATCTTTGATGGTCTGGATGAAAGTCGACTTCCTCTAGATTTCCAGAACAATGAGAGCTTGTCTGATGTAACACAGTCAGCCTCAGTGGATGAGCTGCTAACAAACCTCATCCAAGGGAATCTGCTTCCCTCTGCTCTTCTCTGGATCACCTCTCGACCAGCAGCATGTGGTCAGATCCCTCCTGAGTGTGTTGACCAGGTAACAGAGGTACGAGGATTCAGTGACCTGCAGAAAGAGGAATACTTCAGGAAGAGGATCAGTGACCAGAGTCTGGCCAACAGAGTCATCACACATATGAAGTCATCAAGAAGCCTCTACATCATGTGCCACATACCGGTCTTCTGTTGGATTGCAGCCACTGTTCTGGAGAGGATGCTGGGTGGAGCAGAGAGTGGAGAGATCCCCAAGACTCTGACTCAAATGTTCACACACTTCCTGATCTTTCAGATCAAACACAAAGACCAAAAGTACCATGGAAAATGTGACACTGATCCTCGGCAGACTAGAGAGATTATTCTGGCTCTGGGAAAACTGGCTTTCCAACAGCTGGAAAAAGGCAACCTGATCTTCTATGAGGAAGACCTGAGAGAGTGTGGCATTGATGTCAGAGAAGTGTCAGTGTACTCAGGAGTCTGCACTCAGATCTTCAGAGAGGAGTTGGGGCTGCACCTGGGGAAGGTGTTCAGCTTTGTCCATCTGAGTGTTCAGGAGTTTCTGGCTGCTTTGTTTGCATTTTTCTCCTTTATTTCTCAGAACAGAAATGTGCTGAAACAACAAACACATTCAGAATCAACAATGACTGATTTTCTCAAGAGTGCAGTGGACAGAGCTTTACAGAGTGAGAATGGACACCTGGACCTTTTTCTCCGTTTCCTTCTGGGTCTCTCACTGGAGTCTAATCAGACTCTCTTACGAGGTCTACTGACACAGACAGGAAGCACTTCTAACTGCAGAGAGGAAACAGTTGAGTACATCAAGGAGAAGCTCAGGGAGAATCTCTCTCCAGAGAAATACATCAATCTGTTCCACTGTCTGAATGAACTGAATGACCACTCTCTAGTGCAGGAAGCCCAGACATACCTGAACAGAGGGAACTACTATGGTCTAGATGGAGTCACCCTCTCTCCTGCTCAGTGTTCAGCTCTGGTGTTTGTGTTGTTGAACTCAGAGGAGGAGCTGGATGAGTTTGACTTAAGCAAATATGACCCATCAGACGAATGTCTTCTGAGGCTTCTGCCAGTCGTTACAGCATCCAGAAAAGCTGAGTGAGTATTTTCATTATTACACATTTTACTGTACTGTTTATTTTAAGAGTGATTTTAGGCATAAAGTATTCCATGATTTTAGTGGAATGCAACCCTGTAATCCCTGATTAACAAGCCCTTACTGAGTTAAAGTGGATGTGTTTGTGCAGGAAATCACTACAATGTGCAGGGTTGGGATGTAAAAGTATCAAAGTAGAAAGAAATGAGGTGTCTGAATTCAGTCCAAGTTACATTTTGAACAGGCAATATTCAGGACACAGTTAGCTTTTTAAACTTTTAAGATTTGGATACCCACCAAATAAAAACATTACATTTTTAGAAATAACACTATTAATATTTCTTGATTGACTATTTTAAAACCTCAATCAGAGAAGAGAGGACAGAATGAAAGGTGGTATATTGAATATGGTAGAATATTGGAGGCAGAAGGTGGTACAGTACTGGAGCAGATTGAGGAAGGGAGGAAGACCCTGCTTTGGTTCCTTGGTGAGCAGGAAACGTGTTAAAGTCCACCTTTCAGAGGTTTGATTTAAAAGTATTAAACGTTCAGCCAAATGTGATGAAATGTTATGGTGTTTCACTGTGTGGCTGTTTGGCTTTTGCAAAATGTTTCCTAGAATCTTAAAGCACTTTTTTATACAAACTGTTCCACTTTACCTGAAAATATTTAGGAGACTTGTGACTCACAAAAATTATTAATGTTTTAAATTTTATACGTTTTAAATTAATGCTTTTAAAACAAGCATTTGAATGGTGGATTTAACACCTTTCCTGCTCACCAAGGAACCAAAGCAGAGGCTTCCTCACTTCCTCAGAGCTCTGTGCAGGCCACAGGAGTTCTTTCACACCAAACTCACTAAGGCAGGTCTTTATAGAGTTTGCTTTGTGCACAGAGGCTCAAACTGCTGCCACAAAGTTGGAAGCATAGAATTATGTAACATTAATTTGTATATTTTTGTAGCATTATTATTACCCCTCACTGGAACTAAGGGGCCCAAATCCTGAAAAAAGACCTCTGGTCTTTTATTCTGTACCTGCTGTTTTTCTCCATTTACAATTTCTCTAAATGGTGTATTTCTTCAGTATTAATTGTACAGAGTAGAAACAGACTTTTTAGTGCTGTGTGGGGTTTAGATTAATGATTGATACGAGTCCTTAAAAGATGATATTGTATAGTTGTTGGCAGTGTGTGAAATGACCCCTGGTGTGACCCCTGGTGTAACCCCCCCCACAAACATCTTGACTGGCTACTCCAGCATTGGCTGACTGCTAACTCATTCACCATAAAGGCATTGATGTGAGCTTTAATGGCAAAAATATTTGGTTTAATAATTCTTCTTTTGGAAATGCTCTTTTCCAGTTTAGTAATGTGCTCTTCCACACATTCACTGAGATCTCACACATCTTCTCTTCTGTCTTTGGTTTTAGAAATGAGTCACAATTCACTCTTTCTATCAGTCTCTTGGTCAGTTTCTTAGGCTACTTTTACACCGCAGGTAAAAGTGGCCCAAATCGGATCTTTTTCCTCGTATGTGACACAGATGTGTCATTTGTGTGGCTGTATGAACAGCTAAAATACATTGAATCTGACATTTTCAATTCCGATTTGAGATGCTTTCATATGTGGTACTGAAATCCGATCCGTATCCGATCCGTATCCGATCTGCGGCAATGCGACTCTGTCTGAACAGCCAGATCGGAATTCATGCAACTTTTACCTCAGTCCAAAGTGACATTCGTCATCATTTCGCGCTGCTGAGACTCATAAACATTTAGGCTGAAATTTCTGTACCCAAAAAATAGAAGAGACTCATCACAGCCGCTCCGTGTTCAAATAGGTTTCGAACGGCCGAACGAGCTCGAGGCTGCAGCATTTAAAGAATCTGAGGACATGAACCAAAGAAGTGACAGTGACCGAATAATGAGCCCTGTTTATGGCGAACTCAAACACGTGGTGGGTGATGAGCCCAGCTGTCAACCACTGGAACTTCATAAGCTCTCCTGTGATGGCGAAGACAAAACTGAAGCTCCGGGAGTGACAGGCGTTCACTGGCCATCATGACTGTTTTCCTCCGCCTCGTGAAGTATTGTTCTTTTGCGCATGCGGGTCGGTTTAGGAGCGAGATCTGTTCAGACTGATGTTGCATACAGATCACATTTAAAAGATAATCTGAACTGCCCAACAAAAAAATCGGATTTGGTGAGAAAATCAGATTCGGGCCACTTTTACCTCCTGTGTAAATGTAGCCTTAGATTTGTAAATATGCGATGACATATTGTAAAGTTGTTCAGAGGTATCCCAGGCATAGTTAGGCTATGAAGGATCAACTGAGTGAACCAGTTTACAACAGCGCCACCCTGAAGCAGCAGTGCTGCATCACTAGCTACTTAAGAAAATCAAAGATACAATCTCACCATTTCCTGAGTGAAGCAGCTAAACAACGACCTTTCCCTGAATTTGAATTTGAGCTTCTGTTTTTCTCAAACAGACAGCTTAATATCATAAGGTTATTGTCAGTGAACCACCTAAATTTTGATTTTGAGACATTCATGGGGTCCAACTTGGGGGGGGGGTCTAGAATCCCCCAGGACCCCCCCCTATATTTTGCATCTTGGTTGTTGGCAGTTTCACTAACACTAATATGAATTTTGTTTGATGTTTTAATGAAAAAGAAAAATGTGCTGGATTTTGATTGATTAAAAAATCAGTGGTCTTGATATTTGTAATGAGTCATGTGAAGATGAAACTGAAAATGTAAGATTTTTTGCCAATTTGGATAGACGGGGATTAGGAGTGCAACAATTATTCAACTTAGTCGACTAAAATCGACGACCACATTAGTTGGCAACTAATTTAGAAGTCGATTAGTTGGTGACGTCATTACGCGTATTTGTCGCGCTCACTAGAAACGTTTCGACATCACCGCTCACTGAAGACTCAACAACAGCGCGATGGGAGCCTCAAGAACAAAATCCTCAGAAGTGTGGGAGCAAAACTTAGAAAAAAAAGGTTGTCAGTTGTGCTGTTTGTAAAGCCGATCTTAGCTGGCATGAGAGCAGATCCTCCATGTTGGAGCATCTGAAGAGGAATCTTGTCGGCTCACTGTAGTTGGGCCAGAGGAGCAAGTAACTATAATTCACAGCTCCCTGTTCAATTTCCAGATAACGCTTAGACTTTTAAACACTGCATCAGTGTCTTAACGCCGAGGCCACTGGTGCGGTCAAATTCACCGAACACAAGAGAGCGTTTGAGAACAGTTTTGGGTTTTCTGTGGACGTTTGGCTCCACTCGCTAACAGTTTAAGGAGGTAGTTCTCCGTGAACACACAGGGTAGCTGGACTAAGGGTCACCACTGAAATGAAGTGTTTACACAAAATCGTTCAAATTTCAAAACATTCTCCACTTTCCCATCCGCTCCATCACAGCGCATCTTCTCTGCAGCGGGGAGTTTCTGCTCTCAGAGGAGAGAGAGACTCTCACAGGAGCACAGAGAGACACTGACTTTCCTCCGTTTCACTGAAGATCTGTGACTGTAAAATTTAGTAAAGCAAAGTGTAGAAAAACAGCAGAGCACAGAGCACAGATCACAAACTGTACTGTTAAAATAGAACATTTAAAGTTAGATGTTTTTTATTTACTTCATTAAAGAAAAACTGATTTATTTTTCTAATATTTTATTGCTGCTACTTTGCTGCAGTACATTTATTGCTTTACTTTCCTTGGTTATGAATTTTGACAGGAAAAAATACAATAGAGGTTTATTTTTATCTTTTGTATTAGCAGGAAAGTTAATTAAAACAGTGAATTCTTGAATGGTATTCATCTTTATTGTCTTCATTTTTAGTTAGCAAATGCATAAAACAACCTCAAGCCAAAAAAGCTAAAAGAAGGTATTTGGTAACGTAGTGATTTATAATCTGAATAATCGATTATTCGTTTCAGTAATCGATAGATTATTCTACTATGAAAGTAGTCGTTTGTTGCAGAGAATGTTGTTAATACATTTGCTGAGTTGATCACTGTAATGATCTTCTTACTGAACTTCCTAAGAAAACAGTCCATCTTCTACAGCGAATGCAACAGAACAAATCCTAACAAAAACTAACCAGAGAGATCAGATCACTCCCATTTAGAAAGAACTGCACTGACTGCATCTTTCAGAATAGATTTTAAAGTTCTGCTACTAGTTTTTAAGGCTTTAAATGAGCTTAAAGCACCACTTACATCACAGAGTGTCTGTCTGTTTATGTTCCAACATGAGATGTTAGATCTGCAGATACTGACATTCTGCAAACACCTTCAGTAAAATACAGAAAACGTGGAGAGGCTCTTTCAGAGAGTGAAACTCAGTGCACACATTTAATGTATCTCTTTAACCTGGTGTTTCATTAAAACTCTTCATTACTTATCTTTTTGAATTGTCATTGTTCTATATGACTTTACAGCCATGTTTCCAAAAAAAGATGGGTCGTTGTGCAAATACAGAATTTAGTGATTTGCAGATTATTTAAACCCTGTAATTGACAGTAGTACAAAGACAACATATCAAATGTTGAAACTGATATTTTATTGTTTTTTAAAACTATTTATGCCCATTTTGAATTTGATGCCAGCAACATGTTTCAAAAAAAGTTGGGACAGGGTGTTTACCACTGTGCTGTATGACCTCTTCTTTTAACAACTCTATTAGTGTTTGAGAACTGAGGAGATCAACTGCTGTAGTTTAGAAAGAGAAATGTTTTCATTTTGGTAGCCTTCACTGTAAACAGTCCATTATTATTGTGTTGTATACAGTGGTGATAAAAGTGTCTAAATCCTTTAAAATTACCCAGTTTTCTACATTAACTGGTCATAAAATATCATCACTTCTTCATCTACGTCACAAGTAGACAAACAAAATGTGCTAAAGCTAATAACACACAAACTATGATAATCTGTCATGTGTTTATTGTTCACACCAATTAAACATTCACAGTGCTGGTGGACAATTTCAGTGAACCCTTGTATTTAATAACTGGTCTAAAGTCGTTTGACAGCAATAACCTGAAGAAAGTGCTTTCAGTAGCTGCAGATCAGACCTGCACAACATTCAAGAGGAATATTTGAGTGTTGTTTCTTCTACTGAGCTTCAGCTGGTGGACAGCCACCCTCACTGTAGGATATCTTGATAAAGTTGAGATATTTCTCTCTTGATGATGTCAGTCAGTCCAAGTCCAGAACAGCCCCAATTCATGATGCTCCCTCCAACGTTCCTCACTGTTGGGGTGATGTTTTCATGTCAGTATCTGAGCTTGTCTTTCCACCATATAGAGCTCATATCAGTAGTTTCAGAACTTCTGAACATCAGCAGCTCCTCTTTTACTGTTTCAGACAAAAGCTTGGTTGATGTTTTTGTGGAGCTGAAAAGGTTTTCAGAAAGTTCACTCATGAATGTTCTTTCAGCTGTTGAACCACCACTGGCTGACCATGTAATTTATTAGAGTGGTGTTTACTGGGGTTGAGGTCAAGGTTTTGAGCAGGCCAGTCAAGTTCTTCCACACCACATTCCACAAACCATTTATTTATGGACTCCAGTTTTCAAATGGGACACTGACACGTAGAAACAGGAAGAGTTGGAACCACATCTGTCTGTCTGTCCATCTATCTATCTATGTTTACCTGCCAAGCCTGCAGAACAACTTACACTTTGAATGTCTTCAGTTTATTTTCTTTAAATACTGAATCTTTACTGGTCCACACAGGTACCAGTGTCTGTGTCAGAGAGAGATCATTAGTATCATTACCTCATTCTCTCTCTCTCTCTCTCTCTCTCTCTGTGTGTGTGTGTGTGTGTACACACATGTGTGTGTGTATATATATATATATATATATATATATATATATATATATATATATATATATATGTGTGTGTGTGTGTGTGTGTGTGTGTGTATATATATATATGTATATATATATATATATATATATATATATATATAATTTTTCTGAGTCAGGGTGATGATTTTTGTCTAAATGTCTTTTTTTCCTGGTCTGTGTTTTGTAGGTCTGTTTGTATTTGAGGGTGTAATGATAATGTATCTGATATCATTTCTGTCACAGCCTGTCTCGGTGTTGTCTCTCAGAGAGAAGCTGTGCAGCTTTGGCCTCAGCTCTCAGCTCAAACGCTTCAAATCTGAGAGAACTGGATCTGAGTTATAATAGTCTGTGTGATTCAGGAGTGACGCTGCTCTCTGCTGGACTGGAGAATCAACACTGTAAACTGGAGACACTCAGGTATTAATTCATTGTACTTTTCTGCCTCCTGTTTTTGTGCTTTATGTGTTCATGTGTGTGTATGTTTGTGTGTTTGAAGGACAGAAAGAGAGACATGATGTTTATTTGTACTTGTAGTAATTTTACACCTTACTGAAAATATAAGGAGAGACAGTCTGTTCTAAGCTAATGGCTAACAGTGATGTGTGTTCGGTGTTTAATGACGACTAATTTATTTCACTCATGAACGTTTCTTTCCTAGTTAGAATCCAGTTTCTGCTGGAGTGAAACTGCAGGTGTGTAAATTTGCGGCTCTGCAGTCCGAACGTTCCTCAGAGTGCATTTAGGGCGGAGAGGTTCCTGCAGGGCGTTGTAAGGAAAAAATTGTACCCAAAGAAAACATAATTTTTCAGTTTAGCACTAGTTTAACATGATCAGCATGACAAATAAAAACTTATGAGATACATGTAAGTTCACTGGTCATTTTGGACAGCAGATAAAATGGTGATATTTGTAGTGCAGACATAAAGACGTCTGGTTCCTAGTACTATAATGGAGAACAATTTTGACTGTAAATTACTTTAGAAAGGAACATTTCACACCAAACTACTCTGAATGATCTTTTTACATCTAAACCATTAAATGATCAATTAATTTTGCTAAATGGATGGAGTTCCCCTTTAAAGAGAAAGTGTGAGACTGTTGAATGAGAACTGGGTAGATCCTTATTTTACAGAACAAGAGTTAACTAATATTTAATTAAGGTAAATATGTGGTACTTACGAGTAATTTTTTGATACATACTTTGCAAATATTTTGTTTTTTACATAACACACTACTAATTACTTACAGCGGCACTTATTCAGAAGTTAAAAGGTAAATATGAAGGTTTTAGTGATTCAGCCTTTCAGTGAGTAAGAAGAACAAATCAGCTGGTAAAACCCTCCAACAGGCGGGGAGGAAACTTAATGTGATAAACTTACCAAGTCTGGAATAGAGAGCTGTGTTTCTCAGATACAGCAAACAGAGAAATATTATATTAGACACAAACTACAAGGAGCAGAATGGAACTGCAGGAGAGAACCACTAAAACCTGCTTCTGCACTGAAGAAGATACTAGAGTGTGTGGTAGTGTTTACACAGTGAAGGACACTTTGTAGATCCTGCTCTAATAATAATAATAATAATAATAATAATAATAATAATAATAATGGCAACAGTAGCAGCAATAATAGTACTAGTGATAATACTAATAATTGTTTTGTGTTTTGTTTTTGTTATTATTACTGTTACTAATATAATTTTTTCTCTTGTTTGATGTTGTGATTTTGTTCTCGTCTGACTGGTAGAAAATACTGTGATATAAATTTGAGTTTATATCGCCGACGACTGACAGTGACTGACTTACACAATGACAACAACAAACATCAGACACAGAAACTTTCCTCTGTCTCTGATTACCAAACACACACACACACACACACACACACACGTCTCTTCACTGTGTGTGATGTCATCACTGTGGGGCAGATGGGAGCTGTAGTTCTTTGCACACTCATTAGATTATGTTGAACTCTGTGTTTGAATCGTTACTGAACTCTGCTGTCGGTCTTTTAGATTTAATATCTTGAATGATTGTTATATTCATGTATATTATGTTGATTTTCTCTGTATTGAAAGTCTTTTTTTCACTGTTTAGCTTGTTTTTGTACAAAACCTTTCATTTTAGCTTTAATCCTCTGTGTGTTTTGTCTTCGTTCATCCATTTATCACACAAAAACACCCCCCCCCCTTACCTTTTCCTGTCTTTTTTAAATTAGATTTGATCTATAACAGCATATACGGTTATGAACACTGTGTATGGTTTTGCTTTGCAAACCACAAAGACATAAAAACAGTTACTGTGTAAATACTTTGTACAACGATACGCTTTATTTTACAGCCCTGTTTCCATAATGTTACTGAGAACTTACCAGTAAACATACCATTTAATATGGAATGAGTTACTATCCTGGAAAAAAGGTACTTACTGAGTACTCAGTTGTTGGTACCCTGCAGTTCTTACAGTGTCAGCATAACTTGTAATCTACTCTACTCTGTCACACAGAGATCACATAGTCATTTACTTCCTGAAGCAGTTTGGTAGAACTTGTCTTTACTGTGTAACTTTTCAGCATTAAAAGCTGAAATATACCTCATATTTATCACATTAGTTTTATTAGTTACATATTAAAGTTGCAGAGTATGCAGGTATATATTACTTGTAGTTGTTACATATTTACTATTAAACTCTGAGTAAGTACTGCTGTACATATATATGGACTTGCTAAGTATGTACCAGAAAATTGCTTGTAAGTACATATTTACCTATTAAATACCAGGTACTGTACCTTAAAAAGTGTTAAACCAGGTGTGGACACTAAGATAACCCTCACCAATAGCTCACCCAGACCAACAGCTCCAGCTCAGCTTCAGTACAGACAATCAGACAGACCTACAGTACAAAGTGTGGTCTTTACCCAAACAACACCCAGTTACTATTGTTTTGTACACAGTGGCAAATAAAATTTTGTACATACTTTGATATCACTGAGTTTTCTGCATGAATTGATAAAAAAAAATATTTTCTTCTTCATCTAAGTCACAAGTACAGACAAACACAATGGGCTAAAGCTAATAACACACAAACAATGATAATCTTTCATGTGTTTATTGTTCCCACCAATTAAACATTCACAGTGCTGGTGGAAAAAGTCAGTGAACCCTTGTATTTAATAACTGGTCAAGAACCATTTGACAGCAATAACCTCAAGCTAGTGTTTTCAGTAGCTGCAGATCAGACCTGCACAGCGTTCCAGAGGAATATTGAACTGTAGGAGATCTTGATAAACTTGAGAATTCATTTTTCTCATGATGATTCCAGGCAATCCAGACACAAAGGCAGCAAATCTGCCCCAAACTATGATCCCTTCACAGCACTTCACTGTTGGGGTGATGGTGTCATGTTGATGCAGAGTCCTTTACTCCACAGTGAGCAGCAGCTTCCTCTGTGGTGTCCTGCTATAGACACCATGTCTGTTGTTCATGTGTTAGTAGGAGTGAACCATGACTCAGCATCAGAAAACTGACCACTAATTCCACATAATGGTCATTTTCCCAAATAAACCTGCACACTACACAAACAGTGTCAGCGGTGGGCAGAATTAAATCAGTGGGCACGGCGGCCTGTAAGATTTTAATAACCTGCCCTTTGATCAGAGCATTACTTTACGAACAAAGTCATAGCATAACAGAGTCCATCCTCCTGTCCTTCTGGATGTAGTGGTCGATGGGGGGGTCATGCTGCTGATCCCTTCCTTTTAAATTAATCAACAATAGCTTCTCAAGCGTTCTGATGGTGATGGGCTGACTTGGATAAACTTCCTAAATCACAAAATCCATCTCTGGCCCGAGACCCCCTCTCTCCCCCCAACAACAAGAGGTCCCAGCAGCAGAGCCTTTTTCTCCTTGGTGAATCCGTCATCCAAGGTGTCGTGGTGTAATTGCTGGAGTTGAAAAGCCTCTCAAAAGCATTTTAAGCAAACTAAGCTCTGGTGTTGGTCGTCCTTCACCGATTAACTCCAACTCTTCATTAAAAGTTCATCTAGAAAACGGTACAGATAATAAACTCAGCGATGTCCTCCTCACCAGCGGCAACGCTACTCTCAGCTTCCATCACAAACCAACAAGCTCGCTAGCTTTCTTCACTAACTTCGTCTCCAGAGCCTGTGTGTCTCCACAGCGGGCAGAACTTGTCATAAACTTAGCCATAACAAAGCCCACCCATTAAAAGGGATATGATTGGTCAGTTTTACTGTCATTTGAAGTTGGTCTCTCACTGAATTACAATTGCTTGGCCTGCTGTAAATTTATAGCTGGACCACCAATCACCATCATTCTTTCCTGCAACAGCAGATACAGCAAAATTCCTATAGGGGGAGACAAAGGGGCTTCTCTAATTTAACCCTTCACATTCCAGTACATAATTTATAGGCAGGTTTAAAGGATTTATTTGCTTAGATTTGCATTTGTTTAGATGTTGATTGTCAAAATATGATGAGATAAAACTAGAACTGCTCATTTTTAACATATTTTTAGAATATCTTAGTCCGTCTCTGAGGACGTAGAGGGTCCTGACGGTTCCCCTCTTTGTTAAACTCTTGAACAGAGATGTAAACCAGTTCCAGTGATTCCTTTAAGCCTTTAGCTGTTACTGTACCATATTTACTGATTTACTTACTTTTTTCTGCCAAGCCTAAAATATATTTTTTACATTTCAGTCTCTTTTCTCTAAACACTGAACCTTTACTAGTCCACACAGGTGTTCACCCAGTGACCATGCAAGAGAGAAATTAGTATCATTACCTCTCTCTCTCTCTCTCTCTCTCTCTCTCTCTCTCTCTCACACACACACACACACAACATAAACACAAATGCTTTTAAGATTGATTTTTGTGAAAATGTCTTTTTTCCTGGTGTGTGTTTTGTAGGTCTGTTTGTATTTGAGGTGTAATGATAATGTATCTGATATCATTTCTGTCACAGGCTGTCTCGGTGTCGTCTCTCAGAGAGAAGCTGTGCAGCTCTGGCCTCAGCTCTCAGCTCAAACACCTCAAGTCTGAGAGAACTGGATCTGAATTATAATAGTCTGTGTGATTCAGGAGTGATGCTGCTCTCTGCTGGACTGGAGAATCAACACTGTAAACTGGAGAAACTCAGGTATTAATTCATTGTACTTTTCTGCCTCCTTAACATACTTTGCTATTTCTGTGCTTTATGTGTTCATGTGTGTGTATGTTTGTGTGTTTGAAGGACAGAAAGAGAGACATGATGTTTATTTGTACTTGTAGTAATTTTACTCTTTACTGAAAATATAAGGAGTAAAAATTAGTAGAACAACAAACTACTAAGTATTCAGAGCTGCACTTACTGAGAAGTTTAAAAGGTGTATATGAAATACTTATATGTAAATTTTGGGTACATACTTTGCAAAAAACTTCATGAACAGTATCGGGTATAACTACTGTATAACTACATACTCTGAATTTAATGATAAATGTGTTATACTTACTAGAAATATTTATTGCATAATTTTCAAGTTCAGTATGTAAGTACAGAGTAACTAATGTGAGAAATATCAGGAATATTTCAGCTTTTAGTGATTCAGTGTTTCTGTAAGTATATGCATATGTGACAGAGGAAGTAGATATAAACTAGAAGTAGAATAAATTAGATTAAGTACCTTTATTTCAGTACAGTAACACATTTAGTATTACTTGGTACATTTACTGGTAAGTTCTCTGTAATAGTGTTGTAACATTGTAGTAACAGAACTGTAAAATAATCTAACTGTGTGCATAGTAATTACACACCACCCACATGTTCTAATAGTGTTTTTTGTGTGTCTTTGTGACATGCAGATCATATAACCATACACTTTTTTCACTGTGTGTGATGTCATCACTGCGGGGCTGATGGGAGCTGTAGTTTTTTTGCACACTTTTTAGATTATGTTAAACTCTGTGTTTTAATCGTTACTGAACTCTGCTGTTGGCCTTTTAGGTTTAACAGCCATTGTTTGCTAATCTAGATCTGATCTGTAACAATATGTATGGTTATGAAAGCTGTGTATGGTTATGGTTATGAACACTATGGTTATGAATACTGTGTATGGTTATGAATACTGTGTATAGATTTTCTCTGCATACTACAAAGAAAACAGTTACTGTGTAAATACTGTATACAAATTTACACTTTATTTTGCAGCCCTGTTTCCATAATATTACTGCGATCTTATCAGTAAACATCCCATTGAATGAGTTACTATGCTGTAAAAAGGTACTTTCTGAGTACTCAGTCGTAGGAATCCTGCATGGTCTTTACCATGTAACTTTTCAGCATTAAAAGCTGAAATGTACCTCACATTAGTTGTGCTAGTTTCATATTAAACTTTCAAAGCACCAAATATTTATTTATTGTTTGTAATTATTATTAACACAATTAAACTCTGAGTAAGTACTGTTGTACATACCTTGCACATACTATGTATTTGGTATATACCAGAATATGTACCAGAAAATTACTTGTAAGTACATATTTACCTATTAAATACTAGGTACAGTTTCATAAAATAAAGTGCTAAAGAAAACTGACCAAAAAAGTATTTAAGCCAGTAGTAGAAGCTGCAGATGTGTAAGTGCTAATCAAGGTGTGGTCACTAAGATAACCCTCACCAATAGCTCACCCAGACCAACAGCTCCAGCTCAGCTTCAGTACAGACAATCAGACAGACCTACAGTACAAAGTGTGGTCTTTGCCCAAACAACACCCAGTTATTATTTTTTTACATAAAGTGGCAAGAAAAATATTTGGCTCTTTTGAAGTTACTCAGTTTTTTGCATTAATTGGTCATAAAATGTGATTTTGTCTTCATCTGAGTCACAACTACAGAAAAACACTTGTGCTAAAGCTAATAGCACAAACAGTGATAATATTTCATGTGTTTCTTATTGATGTGCACAGCAGTTAAACATTCACAGTACTGGTGAAAAAGTTATGCTGTCAAAGAATTTTTGACAGCATAACCTGTAGGAAGCGTTTTCAGTAGCTGCAGGTCAGACCTGAACAACGTTCAAGAGGAATATTGGAACATTCTTCCTTCTACTGAGCTTCAGCCGGTGGACAGCCACCCTGACCTGAACTGTGGGTTACCTTGATAAACGTGGGAACATATAAACATATCAACCATATAAAGCTCATATCAGTAGTTTCAGAACTTCTGAACATCAGCACCTCCTCTTTTACTGTTTCAGACAAAAGCTTGGTTGATGCTTCTGTGGAGCTGAAAAAGTTTTCAGAGTCTTTACTCATGGATGTTCTTTCAGTGCTTAGATCAGCACTGGTAGATCATCTTATTCATCCTAAAGGTGCTGGAAGGGGTTGAGGTCAAGGCTTTGAGAAGGTCAGACAGCTCCTTCCACACCACATTCAGCAAATCATTTCTTTATGGACTGTAGTTTCTGAATGGGTCATTGTGATGCTGAACCAGAAGAGTTGGAACCACATCTGTCTGTCTGTCTGTCTGTCCATCTATCTATCTGTGTTTAACTGCCAAGCCTGCAGAACAACTTACACTTTTAATGTCTTCAGTTTATTTTCTTTAAATACTGAATCTTTACTGGTCCACACAGGTATTTAACCAGTGTCTGTGTCAGAGAGAGATTAGTATCATTACCTCATTCTTCCTCTCTCTCTCTCTCTCTCTCTCTCTCTCTCTCACTCAAACACACAAACAAATACTTGAACACTTGAAATGTTTTTAATACATCACGCTTTTTTCCTCTCCTAATGTTAAACTGTGTTTTGTGTTTTACTAAGTTAACAGTTTTAAATGCTGTATTGTTTCAGCTTCTGCACTAGTTTTGTATTGTATAGTTTTGTGGGTGTGTCAGTTATATATAACATAAAACTGTCTTGCTGCATTTGTTTATGTCAGTGTTCATATAAAACAAGTACATCTAGTTTTATACTGAGTTGCCATTTGAACAATTGATAATAGTTTTGGTGTGTTAATAGAAGGTCAGTTATCAGACATGAGTTTGACTGTAAAAATACACCATTAACACCATTAGAGGATCATACAGAATGAATTCAATTATGTAGTGTGTAGTTTCTTAATTGCTTGTGTGAGATGTTGGTGTTTGTATAGATTGTATATGTAGTTGTGTGTAGAACCGTAAATGTGAGGACGTTTTCTTCATCTCTCTACAGATTATTTGACTGCGGGATTACAGAGGAAGGCTGTATAGCTCTGGGTAAAGCTTTGAAATCAAATCTATCACACTTGAGAGAGCTGGAACTGGGCAGGAATAAACCAGGAGAGTCAGGAGTGAAGATGCTTTCTGCTCTACTAGAAGATCCACACTGTAAACTGGAGAAACTACAGTAAGTTACTGACCTGCTTTCACATTACACACATACACACACACACATACACACATACAGATGCACACATACACGGAAAAGACAGAAAGAGAAAGGGAGTGAGAGAGGGAGTGAGAGAGAGAGAGTGAGAGAGAGCGAGAGAGATAGTGAGAGAGAGCGAGAGAGAGAGGGGGAGATGTGTAATGGCTTTGTGAGGTGGGTCTCATTGTTCTGTCTTGTGTGTTTGTGATGGTTTGTACAAAGTTTGCATGTTGAGTCTGTGGCTGCAAAAAGTGTGTTCATATCTGACATTCTGTCTTATTCTATGTTTTACAGCATCAAAGACCACATTTACTGGTAGGAGGCTTATGAGCAGAGGATGACGTCTCATAGAACCAAGTCTTGGTCATCAGGTTTGGACTGTTGTTTTCCTGTATAACAGTCGCTGCACCTTGGATAGAACGTCTGTCAAACTCCTGACATTTGAGGACGACTTCACATTGTTTAGCAGGACACAAGGTGCTTCTCCTCCTCCCAAAGCGCCTGGACTCAACATCAACCCTCTCAAACCAGTGAAATGCTGACAGACTTTCATAAACTCAGTCTATAAATCAACACTTTTTGATCTGCACTGTTAAATCATATACATAGTATACATGGTTGTAGTTTTCCTCCTCATGTTCAGTTATTCTGTATTTGGTTTGAATTTGATATGTACTTTATGTAATGCCTTTAAATTATTTTATACATAGTTTTTTTTCACTACATTTTAATAATAAAAGTCTGTGGACATTACATGATATCATCCTGAAGTTATCATTTCAAAGCCCAGTTATGTTTACCAAGGGGTGGTGTGGTCTTCATGGTGAAAGCCTGAGGTCATCACAGAAAAGGCCAGCTGTGTTAGCCTAAGGTGATTCAGTGTACTTGGCAACGGCCGGAGGTCATCATTGTAAAGCTCAGCTATAGACAATATAGTTTACATGGTAACAGGTTAAGGTGATCATAGTAAATCCCAGCTTTGTCAGGCTCTGGATAATTTAGTCTACATAACAGTCTGGGCTCATTATAGTAAGAGCCTAAAGTTAAACTACAAATATAAGATTTTCATGGTAAAGTTGGTGAGATTAAAACCTTCCAAGAACAAACTAACATCGACTCACCAACCAGAGCAAAATGTGTTAAGCAGGATGGAGAAGCAGCATAAAAACACCCAGCTTTTCAGTCAGATATTATGTTTGGTTAAGCACAGAAGACTTTGGGGCACAAATCTCACAAAGCCTTTTCACAGAGTCCGTAAACAAAAAGGCAGAATGTATGTGTAACTCAAAAACTGACCAACCTAAATGTTTTACTTTCTCCTCAAGTTTCTCCTCCTTAACGTCATGGTAGTTGCATGTGGCGTCGCTATGACAACCAGCTACATTGATACTCTATCTGCAGTGGAAAAGGGAGTAGCTGGTACCAAAAGCAGAGCTGAGTTGAGTCGTATCGTGCAGTGGAAAAGCACCATTAGTGTGATCTTTGCTCCATTTTGACTCTTGTGAGAAAACGCTGACATCAGTCTGAATGTCCACCAGGTGGCAGTAATTACAGCTGTTGACAGAATCCCTGAAAATTCATCTGAAACCAAATTCCTTTGAGGGGGAAAAGCCTCAAAAATCTCAGGACACCTAATAGCCTTAAAAACATCATCTATTTCTTTTTTGGTTTGTGATTAATAAAAACATCACATTTTATTTTGAGGAAAACGACATCACGAACATATTCATGACAGAAACTAAAACAGAATCAACATCTACATGATCTTTATAATAAATCCTCACTGCAAACACAATCTTCATACATAAAGATTATTTTTCTACAGCTTCCTCCTGTTTGTTCTGTCACGCCTCTTGCAGAATTTCCCAAATGTTTATGGAGCTGGATGGATACCGAAACTGTCCGAGCAGCTCCTTAGAGCTGACCGATCAAGGTGGAGTGACCTTAATTCAGTCCTTCCTTTACTAAGAGAATCGTATCTGTCTCTGTTCTCTCCATTTACAGGATTCATTCACTTTGTTTAAACAGTAACACTGAAAATCAAACTTTATTGAAAATTTTCAAAACTTTGTCGTCAAATGTTTGGCAGGCAGTTTACAGAGCCATGAAGAAGCATTTGCCTCCTAATGTCTTCTATTTTTGCATATTTGTCACACTTAAATGATTCAGATTTTAAACTAAATGTAATTTAAGGCAAAATAAAAAAAGAAAATTTAGATACTAATTGGGATCAATTAAACTAGACAAACCCAGGCTTGATTATTGGCAGCTCTACTGAAAGGGTTACCAAAATCCCTCCAAGAGCACAGCGACAACTCCTCCAGGAACTCTGAATAGAACCCACAAGAACATCTAAGGAACTTCCTCACCTCAGATAAGGTCAGTGTTTCTGCAGTTGATTGGTTCCAGCAGTTATTGCTGCTAAACTGGTGGCAGAACCAGTTATTAAGTTTAGGAAGCACATCATTTTTTCATATTGGTGATTTAGATGTTTTCTCTCTTTCAATAAATGAACTGACCATTTAAAAACTGTGTTTTGTGGTTCCTCATGTTCTCATTGTCTCATATTGTATTATGTCTGAGGATCTGAAACCATTTAGAAACACTTTGTACTTCACACAGTCAGTGTCTCTAAATGAGGGAGTCATTTGTAGGACTGCACAGAATCTGCATCTGCAGGCCTCCAACAAGAACATCACTCAATATATTTCAACATTCAAGTTGCTTGAAAATAGTCTCAATCTACACTGGTATGTTGGTTCTAGATTGCAGAGCAACATTTGTAGAGGAAAAGCCCCCCAGTAAGCCCCTCTGAACATAAATAAGCATATTTCTCATTTCAGATTTAAGAGATACAGACAGGTGACAAATTAAAGGAAAAACTTGAATGAACAATTGGAGAAACATAACGAGTGCAGATGGTTCTAGACAGGTGTTCTAGATAATACAGTAAAGCATTTAATCTCCTATCAAACTCTGTGGCCAGTATGAAACACTGAGCAGCCCAGTTGACCTTGATTGTGGATCTTTTAGGGGCGCAGATGGAGCTTCAGTCACACAGACGTCTAAACTGGACAGTGTTTTAATAGGAACAGAGACTAAAGTGACCTCTGCATTTAGATCAGTGTGAAAGACTTTAGTAAACAGGGCTGGTCAGTAATTCATGTTTGTGCATTATTGTGATCTGTAAAGTAGAACATGAGAGCAGATGTTCCTCAGGTGACTGAGAACGTCAATGAAGAACGTAGGGCTGTAGGGCAGGAACCCCTCATTATAAAGTCCACTGACCATATCAGAGCTCACTGGAAAAGTGATGGTCAGAGGAGTCAGTCGTCCTGTTAGACACCTATGGGAGATTTTGGACAGATGTTTAGACAGCGCTGTCCACCACCATCATCAAAACACCAGCTGAGAGCTCGACTTTTGAAGTTCTAAGCTTTAGAAAATAAAACCCTGATGTGGAATTTTGGCGGATTTTGGCGCAGAAAATGACGTCATCTGAATTCCCAGATCAGGACTAACAAAGCCACCAGTGTTTGTGGATGTGCGGTACTGCAGTCCGGAGCTCGAGCCGGTAGAAATCCGAATCGCTGACCGCGAGACGACTTTACTGCGGTCTCTGACCGGAAAGAAGCGCTTTCACTATTCACAGTCAAACCGCTGCAGAAAGGAGCCCGACTGTCCATCTAAACTGGACTCATCCTGCTGCGGTCATTGGGGACCAGCTGAGGTCAGTCGCATCTCTTCATGATCAGCGTCTCATTTGGTGACCAGCAGGAACGCGCGAGATGCGGAGTCGCCTTAACCCTCCTGCTGTGTTCCGGTCAGATCTGACCGATTCACAAGTTTCCTCTTTGAAAAGTGTAGTAATTTCCTCTGTTTGTCTTGAGGCTCCCTGACTTTGTTCACACGTGGTTTCTGAACACCTAAAACAAATCTGACATACTTTTATAAAAATGTGGCTGTTTTATGGAACTTGTATACAAATATATAGAAAACTGTAAATATGTCCAAACAGTGTACGGGTCAAGCTTTTTTGGGCAATAAATAAACTGTTTTCAATAAATAAATCATACCGGTCAGTTCTGACCGGAACACAAACGTTGTTATTTTGTGCCACAGTTTAGAACTGAAAACTGAACTGGTTTAAAAAGTGACTTTGGTGAAGATTTCAGTGAAGTGCTCTGTGACCAACACGACAGTAGGCTTCATCTTAGTACTCGTTACAGTCAAAATAATATGTAAATGATGTGTTTCCTAAAAAAACGGGCGGTTTGAGCTAAATGAGGCCTGCAGGACACAAACAGCAAAGACAAGTTCAAAACTTACAACGTTCACAAGAGCTGAAGTTCATAAAACATCTACACAACATCAGGTGATGATATATGTGTTCCTGTTGATTTATAATGGAATAAAATGATCCGGTCAAAAGTGACCGAGAACACTATGAGTGTTAGCCGAAACGAACACAACAGGAGGGTTAATGAGCAAATCTAAAGCCAGCAGGTCAAATTACCGCACTGTGTGTAGAAGCTGCGCAGCGACAATTTATAAAGGAGCATAAATCATCACAAGCCTTCAGTACAGCAGAGCACTTTACTACATAATGAAGAGCAGCTATACTTCCTAATAGTGACCACTGTAGAACAAACACACACAGACAGATATATGACTAAATAATAACATCATTATAATCATTAAACATTAAACATCTATCATTATTATTTAATCATGTTTATATAATAATAATAATTATAATGATAATAATACTAATAATAGTAATAATAATAATAATAACCATAATAATAAATAATATAAATCAATCTAATTATTTTATGATTATTGTTGTTATTATTATTATTATTATTATTATTATATAAATAAAATAATGCATAAATCATAACATTCTTTAATTATTGGATAAATAATACATATAAGTAAATAAATAACAAAGACAACTTGAATTATTATTACTATTTAATTCATTTATTTTACAATAATAAGAATAATTACTCTAATAATTATTATAAATAATTGTATTTATTATGATTATAATGATAATATATTTTTTTATTTTAAAATAAAAATAAAGCATAATCAAATAATTTTTATATGATAAAAAATACATAATAAATAAAAATAAATAATATAAGGTAGATTAAAAGAACAGATTAATTAAAAACAAGGTTATAAAAAGCCTTTCCCTCTTAATGAAGTGCTGAGCTGTGATTGGTCTGTTAGTAAATCGTTTCTGGTTCACTAAACAACATTAAACTCTGAGTTTTGTTTATATGAACATTAAGAATCACTGTTCACCACATTTCATCTCAGTTTTCTACACCGTCAAAAACACCATCAGACAGACTTTCTCTCTTTCAGAGAGACTTTATCTCTCCTCCTTCTGATTGATCTTTTTGGAGTGGATCAGTAAATTAGAGGTTTGGACTTCACTTCAAAAACACTTCACTACGAACTAAATCAAAGAAGTGTCTTTAAACTGATCCACAAACATCACCCAGTACTGTAATGTGTTGTTTGGAGGCCATGAAATCTGCACTCAGAGCAAGAATCAGTTTAAGCTCATTAAAGGGTTCAGTTCACTAACAGCCAGCTCACTACACGGACTGCAGCTCGTCCACTCTGATGGAGTCCGACTGAAAGGACACTCATCAGCCCAGATTTCCTTCATGTTTCTCTGGATTTCAGCTCCGGTAGCGACACGAGAGAATCATCTGCCCGACTGGCCGTAGAATTTGGGCTCCTAATAGCTCTAAATCAGCAGGAGGTTCTTATTTTATCATTAAACTGTCAAAGAGCTCAGAGTTTGTATTGATCACCAGTCAAATTAGAGAGGCTGCTTTCACTCAGAAAGGGGCGGGGCCATCACACAAGGCCAGAGTTCAGATGTGCTGCTCTCATTTCTGAGAGCCGACTTGCTCACAGCTACAGAACAGGCCTGCGCTAACGGAGCTAATGTGTTTGAGATGTTCAGCCTTTTGCAATGAGATGTTGCTGAAATAAAGAAATGCTGCTGGTGCAGCTCGACTGCAGTAGCCTAGCATGATACAGCTTTACCCACAACACAGACTCAGTCCAGCCCAGTGAAGCTTCACTGACATCAGTTCAGACAGTAAAGACTCTAATCTGTGTTTCTGGGTGTGGAGCCATCAGCTTAAGCTGCTTTTGATCCACTGTCCTCATTAGCACTAAAGGCTAACAGGAGTTTAGCGAGAAGGCTAAAGCAGCACATTCACAGATCTTCTTATTCTAAACGAGTGTTGAGTTTAGAGATTTTTGTTTATAGACCCCCAAATATATCATAATTACTGTAACTTCAGAAGTTCTCATATAAAGCATATTACTGTACGAACATCTGTGCAGTTAGACAAAGAGAACAATATTAAAAAGACATCAATCCTTATGAAGAATTTCTGCTTATAAAGGAACAAATATAATAAAACTAACACACACAGACAGATATATGACTAAATAATATCATTATAATAATTAAAGATTAAATATCTTTATTATTATTATTTAATCATTTGTTTGTTTTACAATAATAATGATTTTAATAATTATAAATAATGAGTTTAATAAATGAGTTTAATTATTGTATGATTGTTATTATTATTACTATTATTACTATTATTATTATTATTATTATTTGTGCTGCAGCAAGAAAACAAAGCAATTCACACTTAAAAAGACGGTTCTTTAGTAAAGGCAGTGAATCTGTTTAGAACCGTTCCTCAGTGTTTTATTCATGGTGAAGTGGCTCCTCAGACTGATGGAGAACGTGTTGTTTGTATGTGACACTGTAAAAATAGAAGAACCCTTTTCGGTGCTACATAGAACCATTGCCTTTACTAAAGAACCCTTGAAGAACCACCTTTTTAGATAGTATTTATTATTTATTTAGTAGTATAGATTACTTTAAATTACAGTAACTCAAATGAAACAACCATAAAACATCAGTCTGTGTTGTTCAGGTTACTCTAACTGTAAAGTGTGAATTTCAAGTTTTATTTATTTATTTTTTAAACAAGAACAGATTTGAAATCAAAAGTAAAGCTGAACTGCTGGTGGATCTGGTGTAAATCTGGGCTGCTGGTGGATCTGGTGTAAAACTGGGCTGCTTTTGGATCTGGTGTAAATCTGGGCTGCTGGTGGATCTGGTGGATCTGGTGTAAAGCTGGGCTGCTGGTGGGTCTGGTGTAAAGCTTGGCTGCTGGTGGATCTGGTATAAAGCTGGGCTGCTGGTGGATCTGGTGTAAAGCTAGGCTGCTGGTGGATCTGGTGTAAAGCTGGGCTGCTGGTGGATCTGGTGTAAATCTGGGCTGCTGGTGGATCTGGTGTAAATCTGGGCTGCTGGTGGATCTGGTGTAAATCTGGGCTGCTGTTGGATCTGGTGTAAAGCTGGGCTGCTGGTGGATCTGGTGTAAATCTGGGCTGCTGGTGGATCTGGTGTATAATTGGGCTGCTGGTGGATCTGGTGTAAAGCTGGGCTGCTGGTGGATCTGGTGTAAATCTGGGCTGCTTTGGATCTGGTGTAAATCTGGGCTGCTGGTGGATCTGGTGGATCTGGTGTAAAGCTGGGCTGCTTGTGGGTCTGGTGTAAAGCTTGGCTGCTGGTGGATCTGGTATAAAGCTGGGCTGCTGGTGGATCTGGTGTAAAGCTAGGCTGCTGGTGGATCTGGTGTAAAGCTGGGCTGCTGGTGGATCTGGTGTAAAGCTGGGCTGTTGGTGGGTCTGGTGTAAAGCTGGGCTGCTGGTGGATCTTGTGTAAAACTGGGCTGCTGGTGGATCTGGTGTAAAGCTGGGCTGCTAGTGGCTCTGGTGTAAAGCTGGGCTGCTGGTGGATCTGGTGTAAATCTGGGCTGCTGGTGGATCTGGTATAAAGCTGGGCTGCTGGTGGATCTGGTGTAAAGCTGGGCTGCTGGTGGATCTGGTGTAAAGCTGGGCTGCTGGTGGGTCTGGTGTAAAGCTGGGCTGCTGGAGGATCTGGTGTAAATCTGGGCTGCTGGTGGATCTGGTATAAAGCTGGGCTGCTGGTGGGTCTGGTGTGAAGCTGGGCTGCTTGTGGATCTGGTGTAAAGCTGGGCTGCTGGTGGATCTGGTGTAAATCTGGGCTGCTGGTGGATCTGGTGTAAAGCTGGGCTGCTGGTGGGTCTGGTGTAAAGCTGGGCTGCTGGTGGGTCTGGTGTAAAGCTGGGCTGCTTGTGGATCTGGTGTAAAGCTGGGCTGCTGGTGGATCTGGTGGATCTGGTGTAAAGCTGAGTTGTGGTCGTCACTCTCCTGTGTTTATCTAATGGGCTCTTTATGGTGTTAAAGAACATGCCATATGACATCACCTGGAGTGTGGTTGTCATTATTTCTCATGGTTCCTTCAGCTTTTCTAGATTTTCTGGACTTTTTTCAAATTTAACTGCAAGTGCTAAAGGTTGTGTTTACAGCTGCAGATCTCAGAGGAGTCTTATTATTTAAGACACGATTCGAATTTGAATACAAAACTCTGTGAGTTTTAATTTCAGTGTATAATAGCTGGAAACCTTTAATACAGAAAAGCAGCGTTTCTGACCGTCATTTTCATCGTCTTAACGGTCAGACTCTCATAAAAACGCCCATTGTACTGTATTTGGTCCTCGTGGCGCTCCAGCTCTGCCACAGTGAAAATGTGTCTGCAGTCCTGTTTGCAGCTGCATTTCCACCGTCAGCGAGGCAGTCCTGTCATTTCAGCGCTGTGGGTTTGTTGGATGTATCAAGCGGGTTAAAGAAGCCGCGATGTCCATCTGAACGGACACCGATCACTGCCCCTTTGGAAGGTCCTCGCCTGAGAAAGTCTTCAGCGAGCCGTCCACAGCGCACAGCGCTACTGTCCACATTGGTCCAGGGGAGTAAACGTTAGCTGGCCGTTTCAGGTGGACCTTTCGCCACATACGAGTCGGTCAGCTCACAGCGAGTCTTTAAATATCAGCACCATCGTTTGTTTATGAACAGAGAGTGTCTGTTAGCCAGCTAGCTAGCGAGTTCCTGTGTAATACAGCTGTAGAAGCCGCCTTGCTAAGGTTAGCTAGTGCTGAACAGTCGCGCTAACTGCGGGAAACACAGCGGTCGGTGCTGCGCGGCATTACCGCAGATTTAAAGGTGTGTCTGTACTGCTGAATATAGCGAATTAAACCGTATTAACGAAGGTAACGGTCATTTTACTCCCTCAGCTCAGCCGCATTGATGGTGAAGGTCCTGATAGAAGCTAAGCTCGCTAGCTAACGCTGTTGGTTCATCACCACAACACAACGTTTTCTGACATCAGCTGTTTCTGTTGTTGCCCCGTTTAAGTATTTATAAGTGTAATAACGTCTTATAAACACCACATAATCATTCTAGTGAAACACTAACGGGAACAGTAGCTGTATATTGTGTGTTCAGCTCTTCCTGTATCGTCTACGTCGGTGTTCCTGCAGAAGCTACAGCTGTGTTTCCAGATGTTGGTCGGGAGGGAAAATGGGGCGGTCATTCTGACGCTGCGCTCATTAGCTTTGGCTACACATGTTGAGATCATTAGTGGGTTTATTAGACAGTGAAATGCAGATCAGAGATCAGTTACTGAACTAACTGGAGCTTCTTTTGCAGACAAATCTTCCCAGCTGGCCACCAACGTCAAAAGACGTTGATATTTGGTTGAATGTTGGTCGTGACGTCGGATGACCAAAATTCAACATACACACAACGTCTAATTCCAACGTCAAATTGACGTAGAATAATGACGACAGCCGACGTTGATATTTTGTTGGTTTTAAGTTGTGATGTAAAGTAACCAAAATCCAACATCTTCCAACCGTCACATGCCAACGTCAGATTGACGTAGAATACTGATATGCAGTCATGAGGTATGGTGACCAAAACCCAACGTCTATTTAACGTCATAACCTTAACGTCAGATTGACGTAACATTCTAACATCATTAGACGTTGATATTTTGTTGGTTTTAAGTTGTGATGTAAAGTAACTAAAATCCAACGTCTTCCAAACATCACATCCCAATGTCAGATTGACGTAGAATATTGACATGCGGTCGTAAGATATGGTGACCAAAACCCAACGTCTATTTAACGTCATAACCTTAACGTCAGATTGACGTAACATTCTAACATCATTAGACATTGATATTTTGTTGGTTTTAAGTTGTGATGTAAAGTAACCAAAATCCAACATCTTCCAAACATCACATGCCAACGTCAGACTGATGTTGAATACTGACATGCAGTCGTGAGGTATGGTGACCAAAACCCAATGTCTATTTAATGTCATAACCTTAACGTCAGATTGACATAACATTCTAACATCATTAGACGTTGATATTTTGTTGGTTTTAAGTTGTGATGCAAAGTAACCAAAATCCAACATCTTCCAAACGTCACATGCCAACATCAGGTTGACGTAGAAAACTGACCTGCAGTCGTAAGGTGTGGTGACCAAAACCCAACGTCTATTTAACGTCATAACCTTAACGTCAGATTAACGTAACATTCTAACATCATTAGACGTTGATATTTTGTTGGTTTTAAGTTTTGATGTAAAGTAACCAAAATCCAACATCTTCCAAACATCACATGCCAACATCAGGTTGACGTAGAAAACTGACATGCAGTCATGAGGTATGGTGACCAAAACCCAACGTATATTTTAACGTCATAACCTTAACGTCACATTGCCATAACATTCTAACATCATTAGACGTTGATATTTTGTTGGTTTTAAGTTGTGATGTTCACTAACCAAGATCCAACGTCTTCCAAGCGTCACATCCCAACGTCATACTGACGTAGAAAACTGACATGCAGTCGTAAGGTATGGTGACCAAAACCCAGCATCTATTTAACGTCATAACCTTAACGTCAGATTGACGTAACATTCTAACATCATTAGACGTTGATATTTTGTTGGTTTTAAGTTGTGATGTAAAGTAACCAAAATCCAACGTCTTCCAAACATCACATGCCAATGTCAGATTGATGTAGAATACTGACATGCAGTCGTGAGGTATGGTGACCAAAACCCAACGTCTATTTATCATAACCTTAACATCACATTGCCATAACATTCTAATCTCATTAGACGTTGATATTTTGTTGGTTTTAAGGTGTGATGTTCACTAACCAAGATCCAACATCTTCCAAACGTCACATCCCAACGTCATACTGACGTAGAATACTGACATGCAGTCGTGAGGTACGGTGACCAAAACCCAACGTCTATTTAACGTCATAACCTTAACGTCAGATTGACGTAACATTCTAACATCATTAGACATTGATATTTTGTTGGTTTTAAGGTGTGATGTAAAGTAACCAAAATCCAACGTCTTCCAAACGTCACATGCGAACATCAGGTTGACGTAGAAAACTGACATGAGGTCGTGATGTATGTTGACCAAAACCCAACGTCTATTTAACGTCATAACGTTAACGTCAAATTGACGCAACATTCTAACAATGTTAGATGTTCATATTTTGTTGCTTTTAAAGCGTGTATTCACTAACCAAGATCCAACGTTTTCTAAACGTCACATCCCAACATCATATTGATTTCGAATACTGACATGCAGTCATGAGTATGGTGAATTCGACATGACATTCTAACATTATTAGAAGTTGATATTTTGTTGGTTTAAAATTTCAGTGTCATGTAACCAACATCCAACGTCTTCCACACGTCTTATGCCAATGTTGGTTTTAGGCCATGGTGTCAGAGTTTTAACCTTCATGAAACAAAATTCTAACATCAATAGACTATGACATGTTGTTGGCTCTAACTCAGACAGCAGACTGTTCTCGGCCGATTCTGGCTTATATCCGTGAGTGTTCGTTGACTTCCAGATAGATATTAGCCAGATGCTGGACAGCTGTGTATGGTTTTAAGTCACATTTACGTGTAAGGGCCACTTCTAGCGTGAATGTTATGGCCGATCAGTGTGGATGAAGGAAGAGGGCCACAGCACAATTAAGTTGCAGCAGACTTGTGCTCAGTTGATTTACACTTCAGTACTTTTGACCTATGTCTGACATGTCATAAGTAGCTCACCCAAATAGCAGACAGTTCTGGGCCAATTCTGGCTTACATACCCAAGTGTGGGCCAGAATTGGGCCAGATGCTGGACAGCTGTGCATGGTCTTAAATTGTATCTCTGTTTAAGGGCCAATTCTGACATGAATGTTGTGGCCCAACAATGTGGATGAAGGAAGAGGGCCACACCTTTATGCTGCAGCAGATTGGCTGATTTACACCTCAGTACCTTTGACCCTAGTCTGGCATGTCATAAGTGCAATTAGAGTTCACCCTTTGAAGGTTAAGACCCTCATTTAATGAATTTTCCAGCACAAGTTCACCATTTTCATATGGACAAGCTGGCAGCTAGGTTTGAAAAGAAGGCAAATGGAAGAGTAATAATTGAATAATTTCAAATTATAAGGTTCCAGTATGGAAAATGAAAAGTTATAACTAACTTTCTAACAGTACCATTTTAGCATAACACTTGAAAAGCACAGGGTAGCTAGGTTAATGTAACGGCTATCAGCACAAGGTTTAGCTACATTACCCTTAATTGCTAATTCATCATGGCTAATGTTAACTTTTTCCTTAGCTAACGTTAGCTAACTACTCTGAGCATTTAAAAGGAATAGCCTGTGCTTTTTGAGTGTTATGCCATAATGGTACAGCGCTTTAGTTTGCAGTTAGGACATTAGCTCAAAGTTAGCACATTAGCTTGGGTCTAGAGCGTTTACTCTGGGCTAGCACATTGTCTTGTGACAGCAGTAGCAGGTCCTCTCGTCTGCACACACAACATCCTTCTGTATAAGTCAGTAGAAGTACAAAAATTTTTAAAAATGGATGCTGTCATTGTTAAAATGAGGCAATATTTCCTGGTTCATATGAGAGTTCACTGCCAGGAGTGCTTTACATTAGTTCGACCTGTAAGTAGCTTAATTTTGATTATGGGTTCCTTAAAGTTTGTTAGAACAAAACCTTTCTTGTTGTTACAGATCTTACAGTTGTGGAGTTCCTGCCTCATTATTCAGTTTCTGAAGTAAAACCAATGCCTTCCAGACAAGCTGTTATTGAAGCTCTGTGACTGCTTACAGTGAAACAACTACCAAAGTGACTGAGCATATTCAGTCTGTAGAGGGATCTGTTGGAAATGCTGATTGTGGTGTTCCAGATTACTAGGTAAAGGGATTTGTTGTACAGTTTGACACAAAAACTGTGTTATCTGGAAATCAGTTAAATAAGTAAATAATAGTTGAATGCATTTCCTCTTTTCTTAGGCATCAGGAAGTGGACAGGTTTTGATTTATCCAGCTTTGTATTTGTTTACTGTGGAAAAAAAATCCTCCAGTAATCATATGAATTATTGCAGACAGAATCAGAAAACATAGCTGTTTATCAAATTAAACCGCGAAAGTGTCTCATACACAGTTGGCTTGATCTCATGTATGCATGTATTTTATGAAGGCACATTGAATGGGTTGACACCTATACTTCAGGGACATACACAAATGTTTTTATTCCACAGACCGCTTAAGTATGATTTTTTTAGACATGTTTGCCATCTCTGATTTAAAATAAAATGTCTGTGAAATTACATTTGAACAGTGCTCCAAGGTAGATGTCAGATTTAGCCCGTATTTCAGTGGCCTCTCCACTTTGCTCAAGAACGACCTGTCACAAAGGTGAAGCCTTTGTTCCTTCATTCATTTACTGTTTTTATTTATTTAACCAGAATCAACATGGCGTTTTCATTCTAAAATGGCTTTTGACACCTATTGATTATTAAGAAGAAATATTACTAATACTAATCACAGATATTACTAATATTTTGCATGATCTGCAATAAATGAATGTGGCATCCTGCAGTGCCACACCTGGTTGGGGACTAAAGTGGGTAGCCAAATCTGGCCCACACCTTTATATATACTACAGTATATGGGCCAGAGCTGGACCAGAGCCCTTAGTTCTACCCACTTTACAGTATGTTGGCCAGATCTGGGCCACATTTATTAGTTCTACTCACTTTACAGTATATGGGCCAGAGTTGGGCTACATCTGTTAGTTGTACTAATTTTATAGTGTG